TAACCCATTTTTTTCCCTCTAGCTCTGAGATGGGACTCTAACCTGAGTGATGTTTGAGGTCATCTTTTTAATTAATAAGCTTCCTTCAGAAAATTACCTTTTGAAAGTTTTAGACATGAAATTGTGGTAGCAGAAATACTTTGCATAACCCTTTTTTTTTTTAATGAGGAAATGATAGCTGTTTCTTTTGAGTAACTCCTTACCTTCTTACCAAAATTAGGAATTAGTTTCAGCCAGAGTCTTTCACTACTTCATTTAGCGAGTTTTGTAATTCAAGGCTTTATTGACACAGACTTTGATAGGCCGTATGGAAATAGTACAGTCTGAACCCTAGCTCCACAGTCTATTGGCTGTACAATTGCTGGACCAATTTCTACCTGTGAGCCTCAATTTCCCAATCTGTACAGTGCATGTAAAAGTTAATAAATAAAGATTATTTCTTTTTATTCCTGTTGGTGGAAATCAAGTAAAATATACCTCTGCACTTACAATGCTGAAGTTATTTTTGACTCCTTTATGTGTCTCTGAAATTATCAGGCATAACCAGCATGTATTATAAGACATGTGTCTTACCATATGAGATGTTCTGTTGCTGTGAAAAATAAAGTTATGATTATTTATAGTTAGGGCTAGGTGCAGTGGCACATGCCTGTAATGCCAGCACTTTGGAAGGCTGAGGTGGGAAGATCACTTTAGGCCGAGAGTTCAAGACCAGGCTGGGAAACATAGTGAGAACGTGACTACATAAAAGCTTTTTGAAAATTAGCTGAGAGTGGTGCCTGTAGTCTCAGGCACTCATGAGGCTGAGACAAGAGGATCACTTGAGTGAGGAGTTCAAGGCTGCATTGAGCTATGATCACACCACTGCACTCGAACCTGGGTGACAGAGCAAGACGCTTTCTCTAAAAAAAATAATAATAATACACATATATATAGTTGTTATTATTGACAGGACATATGAGTGGGGTTGTGAATCATTTTGTGCTTCACAACCCGACTGATATATAAACCCTTTTGGGATCATGAGCGTTTTTTTCTAGGGTGATGCTAGTAGCAAATAGTAATATGAGACAACTTACAAGACATTAGGAAGCAAAGATGAGAATTTTATGAAGCAGAAAATGTTGGTTGTGAGTAATGGGACTTTTGTACTAGTAGAGATTTAAGATACACACACACACATACACACACACACACACATACACATTGAAAGACCAAATAAGAAGTGGATTGGGGTCAAGTAATGAGTAAGATATTGAAAGATACAGTCAGAACTCCAGGGTCACTAGAACAAGGTGACCACATAAAAGGGACAAGCAGCTAAAGAGAAAGATTTAATGTGTCAGAAATAAGAAATATTTATAATAATTAAAATGAAGTGTTATTTTCACAGTATCTTATATACCCTTCACCTGTAGGCAAGGACTGATCATTAGTCTCTGCTGGCTTAAGACTTACCAATAGAGACCATTAGCTGAGATAACCATATAATTGTCCAAACTAAGACAATTTTAAGAATGAAAGGGGCTCTCTTAGTAATTATGCTGGAACAATAGTGGTAAACTTTGACTCCCTGGTACAGCAGGGCATGTGTTCACCCTACAATTAGAACTCCTAGATTAACTGGGAACAGAGGATGAAAACAAAGGATGAAGTGGAAATCAAGGATGAAAAGAGACTGTTCCTAACATGGGGGTTTGGTGAAATGGTGGATATTCTGAAGAGGAATTTTACACATGGGCTTTTTTTAATACCCAAAGTTTGAAACAGTTTTTTAAATAAGGTGACCTACCGTATCCTCCAAAGCAGGGGATCCTGACTATTTTGGGGCATCCCACAGTTGGACAGCTCTGGGAAGTTAGTTTTCAGTTCATCTGATGGTCTGGCGGTGGTAAAACACCTGGGTATCTAGGAAGAAGCCAGAAAAGCTAACAGACTCGGAATATAAAACATAATACAGTTGTATTATTATCAAGCAGAGAATGAGTGGTATTTATCATAATCCTTTGTTTAAAAAGTATTATGGTAGGCCAGGTGCAGTGGCCCACACCTGTAATCACAGCATTTTGGGAAGCTGAGGTGGGTGGATTACCTGTCAGGACTTCAAGACTAGCCTGGCCAACGTGGTAAAACCCTGTCTCTACTAAAAATAAAAAAAAAATTAGCCGGGCCTGGTGGCAGGAGCCTGTAATCCCAACTACCCAGGAGGCAGAGGCACGAGAATCACTTTAATCCCGGTGGAGATTGCAATGAGCCAAGATGTCGCCACTGCACTCCAGCCTGGGTGACAGAGCAAGACTCCATCTCAATTTAAAAAAATAACAAAATAAAATAAAAAGTATTTTGGTTTGTATTATGCTTTAAAAAGATGTATTAATAATGAATGAAAGGAGAAATTTTACTTGAAAAGGTAAACTTCGGTTATTGATAATTTATATCTGTGGAATACTTTATTATCTGGTAAAGATGAAAAATGAGTGCTCATTCTTTGCCCTTATTCTTTGGCTGTTACCGTAGCTATTTGTCACATGTGGCTATAGAGCACTAGAAATATGCCTAGTGCAAATTCAGATATGCTATAGATAAAGGGCACAGTGTATTTCAAGAGAAAAAAAATAATGTAAAATATCTCATCATCTTTACTTGATTACATGTTAAAATGATAATCTGGATATATTGAGTTAAATAAAAATATATTAGTAAATGTAAACTGTCTTTTTTTTTTTTATGTTGTTAATCTGGTTGTTAAGGAAATTTAAAATTGTACTTGTGGCTTGCATTATAATTTTTAAACAGTACTGTTTTAGACCATAAGTGTACTTTAAAAAAATTAGTATGCCATATTTTAAGTGGTCATATTTTTCAGTGGTATAGTACAGTCTCAGGAACATTTCTTCATAATTTCTCATTGCTTTGTTATAGTTTCCAACACTTTGTTTTTTTAGATTTCATGACCTATCTGTCTGGCAATAGAGCACTTAGAGTCGTACATTAATAGCATACTTATCTAAAGGGGATTAGAGCAGTTTAAAAGTGAAGATACTGAGGCTTATGTGTATTGTATCTTACTAAAGACTACATAGTTATTTAATTGATTGAAGAAACCATAGGTAAACCTTTTGTAAGGCAGAGAATTACCTCATTAATGTTACCTGCTTTTTCATTAATTCATTTTTTTTAGTATATGCCAGTGGTTCTTAACTGGGGTTGATTTTGCTCTTCAGGGGGATGATTTGGTAATGTCTGGAGACATTTTGGTTGTTAGAATGAAAGCAAATGCTACTGGCCTTCTAATTGATAGAGATCAGAGATGCTGCTAAATATCCTGCATTGCACAGGACAAACTCAACAAAGAATTTTCTGGCCTAAAATGTTAATAGTATTAAAGCAGAGAAAGCATCTTATATGCATTAGTTTTTTATGCTTAAAAATGATGGCATTAGTGGCACATACATGTCAAGCTGGTACGCACACATTGGACAGCTCTCTGGTTCATCCTAGGCAAACTCTGGTATCTGTAGAGCTGAGGATGGAGATAAACACCAAGACTCATAGCAGGCTGAGACTTTACTTTCAAAGATTTCTTTTACTGTTATAGCACTGTGAGCAAGGACAAGACAACTATTGAATGAGCTGGCTGTCAGTTGGAAGATCAAGTTTTGTAAAGTCAAAGTTATTTCTTCTATGAGCCTCAGTTTCCTCATTGGTAAAATGGGGACAATTTAGGTAGACAAAGCACAAGCTCAGAGACTAACTGGGAGAGAAGGAAGACAGTTACTGGTGGAGAGAGGGAGGCTGGGAGTCATTCTGAAGTTGGACTTTACTGGACAGACAAGTTTGCTATCTCAGCCTGGCTGCCTTAATTTGCTCTTTCTGCTTAGGGTCTGCTGTGATTCTAGCCAGAAAGAGTTAAGGAGACGTTAACTAAAAATGGGAAGTAAGAAGACCCTGGTTAGGGGGCCGATGCGGACCTAAACACGAAGTGTGTCTTGCTGTAGTGGTGTGACTGACTAATGTTTTGTTTGTGTTAGCATTTGTTTTAATAGAAAGAAGAATTTTGAACATGTGTATATTCATGTGCAGGTGATTCCAAATAAAAAAGGAATTGTAATCCCTCTGATGATAGGACAGGAATGGAAAACAACTGACACATTGGAGAATTGATTTATAAAAAGACAAGTGAAGCCAACTTGGGGAGAAAATATAAACTTCTAAAAATACAGCATATGCTGTGATTAAATGAATAATGGAGGAAAAACTAATAAAGTAAATTGGTACTCTGGTATTTTTAAAGCTTTTCAATCCTTGGATTTTTCGGAATATGTGGGTTTGAACTACCAATTCTTCATTTTAATTCTGTTAGTAAACTACTAGAAGTTTGAGAGATGTATAAAATTGAAACATGATTTGAAAGATGATTACAAAGATGAATGGAGGAAACTAAGGTAAAGAAAGTTTAAATTTTACAGGATTTCAGAAATAGGTATATAACTTTTGAATCAAAAACAAGAATTAGGCTTTGCCAGGTGTGATGGCTTATGCCTGTGATCTCAGCACTTTGGGAGGCCAAGGCAGAAGGATTTCTTGAGGCCAGGAATTTGAGACTAGCCTGGGCAATGTAGTGAGATCCTGTCTCTACAAAAATTAAAAAAACACATTTAATTTTAAAAAAGAATCAGGCCTAAGTTGTGTTACAAAGAGTTCTGTTTAGAGATCTGGAATAATTTCTATAGGAAAAATGGTTATTAAACACATTATGCAGAACCAAGAAGTCTTCTGGCAAAGCCAAGCAGGCAAGGGAATATAGAACGGTAAATTTAGGACTTTCTGAATAAGATCCCTGGCAACAAGACTGAGGTCATATCTGATGTTGACATAATACCAGCCTTTTGGAATAAGAAAGGGAGATGAGGAATGTAGCTACAAGATAATTGTAAAACACTCAATTAATGCTCAGCATTTTTTTTTTCCTACAGTGCTTTTCTTCAGGGACTCCTGACAAATGCATATACATTTTCAAAATTTAGCTAAAATACTACTACTATGGAGTCTTCACATTTCTTCCAGTTGAGACGTTCTTCTTTTGTGCTTCAGTAACACCTTCTGCATACCTCTTTTACAACACTTACCACGCATTCTCTTAAAAAGAATGAAGGATATGAGCAGACACTTCTCAAAAGAAGACAATTATGCAGCCAACAGGCATATGGAAAAAACCTTATCATCACTGATCATTAGAGAAATGCAAATCAAAACCACAATGAGATGCTATCTCACGCCAGTTAGAATGGCGATCATTAAGAAGTCAGTAAACAACAGATGCTGGAGAGGATGTGGAGAAATAGGAACACTTTTACACTGTTGGTGGGGGTATAAATTAGTACAATCATATTAGAAGACAGTTGTGGCAATTCCTCAAGGATCTAGAATCAGAAATACCATTTGACCCAGCAATCCCTTTACTGGGTATATACCCAAAGGATTATAAATCATTCTACTGTAAAGACACATGAACATGTCTGTTAATTGCAGCACTGTTCACAATAGCAAAGACTTGGAACCAACCCAAATGCCCATCAATGATAGACTGGATAAAGAAAATGTGGCACATATACAACATCAGTTACTGTGCAGCCTTAAAAAGGGATGAGTTCATGTCCTTTGCAGGTACATGGATGAAACTGGAAACCATCATTCTCAGCAAACTAACACAAGAACAGAAAACCAAAACTGCATTTTCTCACTCATAAGTGGGAGCTGTACAATGAGAACACATGGACACAGGAAGGGGACCATCACATACCATCGCCTGTTATGGGCGAGGGGTTAGGGGAGGGATAGCATTAGGAGAAATACCTAATATGGATGATGGGTTGATGGGTACAGCAAACCACCATGGCACGTGTATACCTATGTAACAAACCTGTGCATTCTGCACATGTACCCCAGAACTTAAAGTATAATAACTAAAAAAAAGAGCGTATCATCCAGGCATGGTGGCTAGCACCTGTCTCTACAAAAAAAATTAGCCAGGCCTGGTGGTCCGCGCCTATGATCCCAGCTAGTTGGGAGACTGAGGCAGGAGAATTGCTTGAGCCCAAGAGGTAGAGCTTGCAGTGAGCCAAGATAGAACCACTGTACTACAGCCTGGGTGACAGAGCAAGGCCCAATCTCAAAAAGAAAAAAAAGGAGCCTATTGACTTTGTTTTTAATTCTGCTTATTGTATTTTTGAATATGTAATGGGCTCACATGATTCAAGAAGTGCCCTTACCATAGTTCTGCCTCCCATCTACTGTTTTCCTCTCCTATGCATACACCAAGGAGATGTTTGTTGTTGTTGTTGTTGTTCTGACTCTCTCCAAATTATCTTTATGTATGATAAGCAGACTGAATATATTTTCTTATTTTCCTAACTTTATATCCAAATGGTATACTATTATGTCAATATCCCTATTAATATGATCAATAGATGTTTATTAAAATAATGAGCATACTGATAAAAGAAAGATCTTCCTTCTAGATCTTTCTTTATTCCTACTAGATCTTTCTTTATTACAGGATATCCTCCTGTGCCTCTGCTCAGCAAAGGTAAACTAGATTTGGGTCATAATTAAAGATCCTTACCAAGAAAGGGCTGCATGCTGTTAGATCACAAAATGGCTCCAGCCTTCTAAATGACTCTGACCTCTCTGGAAATAGAGGTTCTTATCAAAGTAAATTGTTTAACCAGTGTTAGGAGAAGATACAAATTTGATTGGCCATGAAGCCAACTAAATGATGGAATTAGTTACCAAGAGAAGACATCAGATTTTTTTTCAGGTAGGAAAGTATCTCCTGTGACTAAAATGATTCAGATGTAAGTATGCTTAAGAGTGAAAAACAGTCTCCTCCATTTCTATGACTCAGTTTTTGAAAAGAGTTAATAAAAGTAGACTAGGAGAATTTTTAAAGGTAACCCAGATTATTTAAGTGGAAATTCTGTTTATACTAGTACTTCTTGTATTAAAAAAAAGACTCGGGAAAAAAACCTGTTAATTTTGCAGAATCCAGAAAGTTCTGACAGATTCAAATCTATTGATATCAGGCAAGAAGTAATCATATGAGACAATATTTTTTTTCTTAGAAACAAATTACCTGGGATAACTTTTAAAAATTTGTGACCCTCTTAGATAAAAATTAATTGTTTTAAATGATAAGTGAGATTTCTTAAACTGTTTTCTATTTATTTTTCACTAGACATATATATCAGTGCACAATAAAAAATAAATTTATTTATGTTCTTTGAATTTCTAAGATAAATAATCACAGCTGTAACAGCAAAGACAGATGAAACTGACTGGATGTAAGTAGGTGACTAAGCAGGGGCATCAGTGATCCTTTGCAAACTGTAATGGCCAGATTTGTATCTGGAAGTGGATAAAGCTCATTTTGAAGTATAATTTAAATGGTTTTTAGGCCCACTGATTTTTTTGGAAACATTAACTCTAGCAATGAATTGCCAAGAAAAATAGGACAGTGTTTCAGGAGAGACAAATCTAATTTTAGCTTTGTTGCTGGAGAGCTGTGGATTTCATTCAAGTCCTTTGACCTCTGATTTTCAGCCTTTATTAGGAGATCAGGTGATAATTTGCTGTATATTGTTAAAATTCCTTTCACCTATAAAATTATTTTGGTAAAATGAAGAAAAGGAAAATGATGGTCTTTGGGCTTCTTTCATTATTTTGGGATGAATGAGTGAAGTAGAGTTAATTATGGAATTTTTGGTGATTAAAAATTGGAACACAAAAAATTTGAAAGCTTTGATTTTGAATACCTTAGTTTCTTTTTGTAGGAAACGATGATGTCAGCTTAACAAATGATATCTTTCACTTGGACTACTTGAATATTTTTTGTTAGCTTATCCCTTTTATTTTTTGAAATTTTGACAATTTGCTGAGGTGTTTATTTTGACTACAGTGGTTATAACACTTGTGGTTATTAGAATATATTATAGCTTTCTGAGTTGACTGCCATCCTGAAATAAAATATCTGTTAATTTTTCTTCCCAAGTTTGTAACACTAATTATTACCTGTATACATGCAAAAATCTGAACATATTTTAAACTTGTAATAATGATCGTTTTATGCATTGAACTCAGTAAAAGGGAAAGATAATATATCTTTCTTTGAGTTGTTAATGTGTATGTATCATTTATAAAGTATAATCTAATAAATTCTGGTTAACTTGGACTAATTTAAAATATGATAACCTGGATGAAACTTGGTGTTTGCATATGCTCTGTATAGCAATTAACCAAGATATTAAAAAAAGGTGACCAAAGAATTAGAAAAAATCCAAATGAAATGAGAGACAAACATCTGGAGAAATACAGTCTGGCAATCTTCAGAGACGAAACTTACTTGTTTAAAACAAAAGCCATTTTTGTATTAGCCTTATTTGTCTCCTCAGGCCTTAGAAGAAAGCCCTTCAAAAAAGAAGGGCTGTCATCTTGAAATCAGTACTATGGACTGACGTTCTCCTTGACATTAAACTATTTTTATTTGACTTTTTTTTCCTAAATTACTATACAGACTATCGTGAGGAGGAAAAGAAAGTCTTAAATGGTAAGTCTATAAATTTATAATAAATGAATGATATTCACATGCTTATGAACAGTATTGCTTCACAGAACTGTCTAGGACATTTAGAATTTTTTTTTAATATGAAAGATAGCTTTACTGGCCCAAGCTTACGAGTCTTTTCATAGGCCCCTTATTCTAGCCATTACTCTTACAATCCTGCTTTCTGTTTTCACCCTAAACATATGTTATCACCCCTCAGCATCAATACTTGTAATGATTAGGAGTTTCATCCTCAGAAACAAGACAAAATCAAGTCAGTTTTCTTAGGTGTGAGCTCACCTCCAGTGTTTGCATACATATGTCAAATAGTTTATTAATTTACAATTTTCTGAGCTGAGTGGTGCTGTTTTCCTCATCCATTCTGGATGACTTGCAAATAATGACTGACACTTCCTCTGCCCCAGAAAAAAGCTTGGTGTGATGGTCAATACTGACATAAAATGCATGGTGCTAACTCTGACTGAACTATATTGATGTACATTTAGAAACAGTTTTTTCCTTTTGTTTGCAAAAGGAAGTTAGAGAAATACAACTACAAGCTAGATTGCCAGATGAGTTACCTTTTTCTTTGTTAACTGGAGAAAATAGTCTATATTGTAGACTAATTCATGCAATTTATGGTACCTGAAGTTGTTCATTGGATAATATAATACTCCATTAAACGAAGGACTGATCTTTGGTTTCACCTGATTATTGACTCTTCTGTGACACTACAGAAACAACCATTGCTTAATGACTAATTACTGATGGAGTGGGCATTTCCTTTCCACCACATATGGCCTCCAGAACCTTTACTTTTCTGTTGCCTTCTTTGGATGCACTGTATTTGACTAATTTCTCAGTTAAAGGTGGCTTTAAGTATGGAATACAGCACTCCACAAGTGATGTGGTTAGCCCTGTTACCTCTTGTAACCTGGACTCTGGACCCTATAAGATTGGAACACATCTACATACATATTTATTAGCTGCCTTTTCCTTTGGGCTCATTTAAATCTATGCGGTAAGTCTGTATTTGCAAATGTGATCTGCCTGAATCCTATGTTACCATTCCAATAGCTGCTTAAATTACTGAATGGGTTGGACTACTTTCCTATTCCACTAGAGACCTGATCTCTTCAAATTGACAGCATTCAGTCAGTCAATCAACACTTGTGGAAGAGAGAACATTCCTTCAGTCCACCTTACATTACTTATTTTATTTCACTCCACATTCTCCCCCTATTTTTTCAACTTATTCAAAATAATATTATGTAAGGTTTGGGGTTTTTTGTTGTTTTTAGTTTTAAATTAAGACACATTCCATGTATTACTATGTTATTCTGCTTTAATAAGCTATATCTTAATGATACTATATAGTTTTTTAGAATGTTTGATTATTGTCTCATTTGATCACCCACGAGATTGCAGGGAGCATTTCATTGCTATTAATAGCTTCAGTTCCAAGAAGAGGAAACAGTGGCTTGCATAAGATCAATATTCTGGTCCTAATTAAGTCATACAAGATCCATATTGACTTAAAATTTATGAATTCTATTGAGAGATTTTTTTACAGAAATTCTTAGATTTTGATGCATTTGATTTTTATTTGTATGAGACTTCCAGAAGAGACATTACATTAATCTCTTAATGAAATCTTTGAGTGTTTCCTAAATAATTTAATAAAATTATTTTGTCTTACTCTTACCATTTCAGAAAAAATACAGTTAATTCCTGTAGTCCTCTTTTGTTTTACCTGTAGTTTTGTAGTAGAGCATGCTTCTTTTAGTGGCCACTGCTAATTATTAGTTCACAACTCTGACATTGTTGTCACATCTCTGAGGTTTCCTTTGTTTATCTGAAAATAATGTTCTGCACAATTATGTGGGAAGAAAGGGAAGCTGAATGTATAAGGCCTGGACTCATGGCTTTTAGTACATTCAGAAAAATATGACTGTTTTACATTTTGCTTGCACTTGATCTTGTCTTTAAACAAAAGGTTTGTGTCTAAAAAGAATCTTGGAAACCTCTAAACTATCTTGTCCCAAAGGTGTCTCCCAACTCTTAAATTTGTGTAAAATCCTGTGATTTCTGATTTGGGAACCCAAGACTCAGCAGATATTAACCATTAATATTTTTTCCTGCATAGTTTGAGAAATAGTAATATAATTCATGCAATGATTTTCAAATGTCATTTAGCAGAAGTACTTCTTTTTTCCAAACTAAATCTTACCATATACAAACAATGCACTCCTATTGTAAGAGGAAAATACTTAATGTTTGCAATATCTTGAGTTATTCCATGTCCCAGAGTTTTCTGAAATGATTTTAAAATCGTAGCTTTAGTGGGCTTTTAAAATGCATCATATGCACAGGAATGCTTACCCACAGGAGTGAGTAAAATGGGGAAAGACAGAAGAGTACATGTTGGTGAAGTTGTAGAGCAGCTGGAGCTTTCAAACACTTTTAATGTAGTAAAAGTATAAATTGGTACAACCACTTTGGAGAGCTGTTTAGCAGTCTACTAAAGCACCCTTCCTACTAACCAAAAATGTAGATATGTGTTCTTTAAGGATGTGCATTGACGGGCCAGGTGTGGTGGCTGACGCCTGTAATCCCAACACTTTGGGAGGCCAAGGTGAGCAGATCACCTGAGATCAGGAGTTCAAGACCAGCTTGGCTAGCATGGTAAAACCCCATCTCCATTAAAAATACAAAAATTAGCCGGACATGGTGGGGCGTACCTGTAGTCCCAGCTACTCAGGAGTCTGAGGTGGGAGAATCACATGAACCCAGGAGGTAGAGGTTGCCGTAAGCCGAGATCGTGTCACTGCACCCTAGCCTGCACAAGAGAGCAAGAGTCGATCTCAAAAATAATAATAATAATAATATGCATGTACATGTAAAAGAATATATCAGCACTGTGTATAATAGCTCCAAAGTGGAAACAACCCGAATGTTCATCAGCAGGAGAATGAATAAATTGTGAGCTAGTCATATAATATAATACTACTCAGTTACAAAGGACCAAACTACTGATGAATTGAATAGCCTGGATAAAATTTCAAAAAGCCCAGATTTGATATTTTGCTGATTGTCAATCATGCTTGTTTCACATAAGAACTGTAATGTCTAGAATGTTGGACAAAAAGCCAGACTAAAAGAGAACATATCTTACTATTCTGCTTATATAAAGATCAAACACAGGCAAAACCATGGTGCCAGTAGTCAAAATACATGTTACTCTTGAGGCAGGGATGGTGATTGAAAGGGGGCATGAAGAGAGTGCTGACTGCAAGGGTATGTTTCACTTTATCTTGGCCTTTTGGCTAAGATGAAGTGAAAATATATTGAGTAGTACATTTGTGATTTGTATCCTTCTATGAATGTATGTAATATTTCAATAAGAAGTTAACTAAAAAGAAAAAAAATTAAAAATATTTTGTAGATGAACTATAGCTATTTTTCTTTGTGAAGGCATGCTTCCCAAGAGCCAGGTGACAGAAACACTTGCCAAAGAAGGTCCTAGTTATCCAAGGTATGCATTGTTATTTAAAATTTTTAAAGTTAAATCAGTTCTATACAAAAATGTACACATTTAAAAAATAAAGTAACTCTGGATTTTGTTTATTGCTTACTATTAGTCATGTATCTTTGACACAGGAACTATAGTGCCTCATTTATTAGATTTTGTTGGAGAATGAGCTGTTCCATAAATGTGAATTTTAAATATAACTAAAATTTTATCCATTTTAAATACCAATACTTTAAAAAACTTTTAAAATATTTTTCTGATTATAAAAAGAATGCATTAATGGTAGAAAACTTAGAAAATATAGAGAAAAACAGAAGAAAGTGATAAAATCAGTTGTAATCTCACCATCCTTAAATATATACTATTATTTATTTTTTCCAGTTTGATTAATATAATACCTACTTCCATATTATTCTATTTTATAATGTTGGTATGATGGTATATTCTATGTGCATTTTCCTGTGCCATTAAATATTCTGTGAAAGCCTTTTTTCTCTGCATTTCGTCATATGACCCTGCCATAATGTATTTAAATATTCTATTTTTTATATCTAGTTCATTTTTATCAATTTTTAATGGAAATTTTTCAAAATATGTTACCCAATAGTTGTCTTAAACAGTTAACAGTAACTTAAGCAATACATACATGTTTTGTTAATGACACTTAAAATACCTTCAGGTGTGTTCTCTGTAGTTCCCTCTCTTACCCCTTTTCTCCCCACCACCAGTCTATATTATTCTAACAGCAGCATCCTGCTATATTTGTTAAATTATTTCATATACAATTTTAAGTTAGGGACTAAGGATGCTTTGTGTAGATTGGCCTATATGTAGGTAGTAAGTGCAAAAAGGGTATCAAATTGATCAATAGCTATAACAAAACAGAAGACTTGGTTTCATTTTAAGTTTTACTGTGGACCCATCAAACAACCTTGGTGAATTCATTTCTTCAGTACTAATATATTTGTGACAGAGAGGAGTGAAGATAATAAACATGTACATTTTTTCATGCTCCTTAACAAAATATGTTGTGTTTTGTTTTTGCTCTGATAAAAGGTTTTAGTAAAGAGATGTGTAGCCTTTATACAAAGTGTCTTGTTAAGGATACTTTGTTTTCATTCAAGTGGGAGTACATGGAAGTATAGATATTTTAAATTTAGAAATAGTTGTCAGCAGTATAATAAAGACTGTAACATGGTAAGACCACTCTTTATTTAGAAAACAGCTTAACCTAGAGAAATACAGATATATCTCACTATAAATTTTAAACATTTAATGATTAACATATGTTAATGCACATGATTGTCAATATAATTATTCATCCTTTTCCTTATATTTTACAGCTATGATTGGTTCCAAACAGACTCTTTAGTCACCATTGCCATATATACTAAACAGAAGGTAAATATGTCTTTATCAGAAAAAGAAGTAAATAATAAATGCTAATTTATGTACCAGGTCTTTTTCTAAGCACATTTTTATATTATTTACTTCTCACTACAATTCTTTGAGGTAGATAATATTGTTATTCCTTTCGTAGAAAAGATTAAGTAATTCATGCAAACACACACTGAGTGGGCAGATCGGGCATTTGGAACTCAGGCAGACTGGTTCCAGAGCATAATCACTTGACAGCCATTGCTATAGCCTCTCAAAAATGAAAGTAGGAAGTATTTTATGTGTTTATCTGTGTGTGTGTATGTGTGTTTGTTTAAAGCATGGATAACAAAAAATAAATCTTAGTTAACTTCACCATAAGAACAAAGTTTCCGCACATAAGCTGGGATTGGAGAAAGTATTTTGCTGTTGCTTAGTATGTTTAAACCACGAATGGTGTTTAGATGCCCATTAGAAATTGAAGTTAGGGAGATAATCACTTACCATTGAAACTAAAGTTACAGAGATAATTCATTCACTAAGTATTTATGTAACCTGCTTTGTATAGAACATACTCTTAGATATCAGGGATCTAATGATGGGCCATATATAGAGAGACCTGGCTTTCAAAGGGCTTACAGTCCAGCGCTAAATAAATATGCAGACAATTTATAATATCTCTAAGCACATCGTCCAGCAACTGTTGAGGTTCCCATACTTTGAGGGATATATAGATTTAAAGACAAGTTCTGGCAGCTAGGAATTTTTGAAAATTCATGCTGCTTTTTTAGCGGAAGAACCATGTCTGAACCAGTGGGTTCCTCTGACTCTTGCAGCATGATTTGGCCATTCTGCAGAGTAGACCAGCCTCTGCCTGAAAAAAGCCAAGAGGGCCAGTGGTGCTACTTATTCTGCTTTCCACTCCCTCTTGATATTGTCTCTTCACACAGTTCAAAACCCAGAGCACAGGCTCTAGGGAGGTCTACTCCCACTGGTAATATCAGTGAGGCATAGAGGATGGACGGCTAAGGGAAAAGGAAAGGAATAATATATTCAGTGAGTAATATAAATAATATATATCTTACATACACCAAGGCTATGTAGAAATTAGAGACATCTAAAAATATGTTAGTGAATTGATTTTTTTTGTAAGCCGAGGTCAAATGGATATGTAATTTGCCCAGGATCACATTAGCGGAAAGATAAAGATGAACAACACATATCTTAGTTCCTAATCTGATTGTAATTTCCTGGGGGGTGGGTTACATATTGATTATTCAAAAAATATTTATTGAGCACTTGATAGGTGCCAAACAATGTTCTAAAGTTAGTCCCTTAACCTTAGAGCTTAGATATTAGTGGATAAAGTAGATATTAAACAGAGACAAAATGTGGTAATTAAAATTTTGATATGTGTATTGAAGAAATACTGGGTCATAAGAGAGAAAAACAGAAGTAACATTTGTTTAGCTTGGAGGTTCAATAAAGAAGCACCATATGAACGTCCAAGATCACCTTAAAAGTTTGGTTGTAGAACTTCAGGGGAAATTTTTACTTTATAATCTTTCTATTTTTTGCTTTCTGTTTCAGGATATCAATTTAGACTCAATAATAGTTGATCATCAGGATGATTCCTTTAGAGCAGAAACAATTATTAAGGATCATTTATATCTTATACATATTGGTGAGTACTTTATTATTAATGAAAGCGCTCCGATTTTCTTTAAATATGGCAATAACTTGGTCTACAGTCCAGGTAACTGTAATATTTTATCTGCCATTATCATTTTGGTTTGTTATTTTTGATCAGTTTTTTTCCTATAATTTCTTTACACTAATTAAAGTACTAGCAAGTGGTGGTGTGACCTCACCTTTCCAAGTTTAAGCAACTAGATGCAATCAAAATCAATAATATAAAATATCTGTTGGCCCAGCTTTGTAAAATCTCTCATACCTGACACCTACAAGCGAGTCTTCCAAGGCCCTTTGGTCACATGCTTCTACTGACTGTCCTTCACTAGATGGCCCATTCCGCTGGCCTGTTCCTTGCTAGCTCTGCCGTAGGAAGTCAGTGACTGCAGCAAAGCAGCCTGGACTACACATTTATGTTGTATCCCCCAGCTGGCTGTCCTTCATGGCTAAAGACCAACTTTTAATTTTTTTATCAGGACAGAGAAAAAGTAGTAGAAACCAGGGATCCCTACACTAGCACACTTATTTTAAAAAGTTAAATATTCCACAGTTAAAAATACGAAACTTTTGGTTGCTACAGTTGCATTGAAAGGACTGAAATAATGCAAAATTGTAAATTCCGGTTTAACATATGAACACAGTGAAATTTACAGCAGACATTTGTAAGCTTATTTCTTACATCACCCCTTTCTGGAATATAAGTTCCAAAGGGGCAGGAATTTTTCTGTCTTATTAAATGTTGTGTCCATAACACCTAGAAAGTACCTGCCCCATGTAGATGCTTGATAATTTTTTTTCTCAATAACTGAATGGATATTCAACTTTGGAGAACAATAAGAAAAGTTAAGCTAGACCCAGGCCTGACCTATGTACATATGTGCACACACATGCACACACGCACACACACAGACACGCACAGGCTTGGATGCTTCAGGTGCTGCCTCTCCCTAGCCTACTCCTCTCTTGGTTTATAGGATTCCCAGTGTGGAACCATACATGTTTGGACTAGTGTGGGTTACTCACTTGTGGGCAATTGAGTATTTGTTCTTTAGTTAATAGGGAGAAAAATGAAATGATTGAAAAAATATACATTTAAATAATTTGATTATTTTGTGTATAATTTATTTGGTCTCTCAGAACACATTTTATTTGTCTTGAGGGATTTGAAATAATTCATGAAAGAGCCATTTAAATGACATATGGTGTTCAAAAACTGTATTAATTGAAGTTCTATTTTAATTAAATATATTTTTCTATCCTAGGGCTAAGCCATGAGGTTCAGGAAGATTTTTCTGGTAAGCTACAAAAATCAGAATTTATTATGTATGTTCATGCATAAACACATACCTACAGAGAGAGAAGGATAAGAAAAAAAGGAAAAATTAGCATTTGTTTTATTTTTCATACATATTTTTTCATGTTGCAAAACAAAGATGTGATGTTTTCCCTCTTTTTTTTAACCTTTAAGTTCAGGGATGCATGTGCAGGATGTGCAGGTTTGTTAAATAGGTAAATGTGTGTCATGGGGGGTTGTTGTACAGATACAAACAAATACATTAATTTTTAAATAAACTCCTCTGGTTTCAGGTTTTTGCCTGTTTTTTCGTCCCCATTCCTTTTTTGTGTGTGAGACACAGTCTCACTCTGTCACCCAGGTTGCACTGTAGCAGTGCATTCTTGGCTCACTGCAACCTCTGCCTCCCAGGCTCAAGCGATCCTCCCACCTCAGCCTCCTAAGTAGCTGGGATCACAGTGCACACACCACTACACCTGGCTAATTTTTTTCTAGAGACAGGGTTTCACCATGTTGTCCAGGCTGGACTCCCTTATTCTTTTGATCTCTTTAAACTCTTTTTTTCTCCTTAAAAAAAAAAAATCTGTGTGCTTTTTATTCTTCCTTCCTCATATCTGCCCTTCTCTTGACATGCAGCTGGTAGAAATATACTATATTAGACAAAATTTTCTTTCATCTATATACTTAAATGTTTAATGTTGATGGAGCATACTAAATTATGAATATTGCTGCATGTAAACATGCAGCAGGGTTTTACACAGCTGCATGTTACCATATTAACAATAGAAGACTGATTATAGAATGGTGTTTTCTTGTTTTCAAGTACTGTCAGTGTACCTTACACTGGTGCAATGTTTCCTCTTTTTTGTATATCATAGTAGACTCTGTAAATTATATAGATCAGGCTCTTTAAAGACAAAGACCATATTTTTATTTTGGTTAATCTTCAAATCAGTGCTCATCAAATTGAATTCATTTGACTCATCTATCTTTAAAATTTGTTAAATTGTTACTGGGTTTTGTGTTTATAGTGAGGGAGAGCAGAACGTTGTCTCTGAAGAAAAATTAAATATAAAAGCATATTCAATTCATAAAATTTAATCAGCATATGAAAGCATGTATTTTATTATACTCACATATTGTAAACATTTTAATTATTCAAAAAATAAAAAGATAATCTAAAATATTTTTATCAAAGATTTACATGCACTTCATCAGTTTACTGTTTACTAGGAACTCATTCTCATGAGGCTATTCTTGTGTTTATTAGGCTCAGGATTAGTCTACTGAATTTACTGATAAGAATCCTTCAAATTCTCACTAAGGAATGTTAAAAAAATGTAATTTGCTTTTGTGGGGGCATTCAAAAGCTTATCTCAGCTCTTTTTTTTTTTAAACTTTGTGTCAATTAGTTGCCATGGCTATATTTGAGCTTGTTTGAAAACCAGCAATACATAGTAGTTTGGCCCTTAATAAATTAGTTTGAAAGAAGTTAATCTGAATCTGTTAATAAAATATATTAAGCATCTGGGCACAGAGACTCATGACTGTAATCCCAGCACTTGGGAGGCCGAGGCAGGCAGATAACCTGAGGTTGAGAGTTTGAGACCAGGCTGACCAATGTGGAGAAACTCAACCTCTACTAAAAATAAAAAATTAGCCTGTCATGGTGGCACATGCTTGTAATCCCAGCTACTTGGGAGGTTGAAGCAGGCGAATTGCTTAAACCTGGGAGGCAGAGGTTGCAGTGAGCTGAGACTGCTACATTGCATTCCACCCTGGGCAGCAAGGGTGAAACGCTGTCTCAAAAAATAAATAAATAAATAAATAAAAATAAGCTGTCTTTAGTACCATATAAAGCATAAACAATTATGATTGTGATTGAATATGTAAACAAAATCTTATTTATCCAGCTAATAATCGGTGCCATTCATATTAGATCAGGACACTTGTACTGTGTGAGAAATACTGGTTTTAAAATAGAACACTGTATTTAGTATTGATGAATACAAATGGAGTTTATCTTCTTTTCAGTGCGGGTTATTGAAAGTGTGGGAAAAATAGAGATTGTTCTAAAGAAGAAAGAGAATACTTCTTGGAACTTTCTTGGCCATCCCCTGGAGAATCATCATTCACTTATTCCAAGGAAGGATACGGGTATGCTGTATTCTTTTATAATGTTAATTTCATATTCATGAAATTGTTGTTAGCTGCACATTTGTACCAGAGTTTGGAAGGCTACTTTGAAATGAGCTGAAGGGTCCTTGTATCTACTTCTAGGGAGTTTGAAAGGGACATTGTGTCTGTTATACTGCTTTTTTTTTCCCGTAGAAGTTAAATTTCAGACTCTTATCTAATATATAGGCATAGCAAACTCATTACATAATGATACCTGAATGGTGATGATCAACCATTTACTATTTCAGTTCCTCTTTTGTGAAAGATACAAAACTTAAAGTTTATGCTTTGTATGTCTGATACTTTGTATGTCTTTCCTGTTAAGGAAGACATGTTTACTATTTTTCTACTTAATTAAAACAGTTTCTCAGTTTACTTCTTATATTATTCTGCTCTCATGTTGCTATAAAGAAATGCCTGAGACTGGAAAATTTATAAAAAGAGGTTTAATTGGCTCATGATTCCACAGGCTATACAGGAAGCATGGTGCTGACATTTGCTTGGTTTCTGGGGAAGCCTCAGGAAACTTACAATCATAGCAGAAAGTGAAGGGAAAACAGGCACATCTTACATGGTTAGGGTAAGAGGAGGAGAGAGATGGAGGTGCTACACACTTTTAAACAACCAGATCTTGTGAGAACTTGCAGGAGAACACCACCAAGAGGGTGGTCCTAAACCATTTATGAAGGATCCACGCATAGGCTCCAGTCACCTCCTACAGGCCCCACCTCCAACACTGGGGATTACAAATCAGGCTGAGATTTGGGTGGGAACACAGATCCAACCCGTATCTTTTCTAAAAGATGATACGATTCATTTCCTTTCATTTTTAAAAAGCTTTTTACCTAATTTTAACATATATATAGAAAAGGGTGCAAAGTGGAAGTGCTCCACTTGATATTTTGCAAAGTGAACACATCCTGTATTGTTTCTTTGGAAACTGGTAATATATGTTCCTTGTTCTAAGTGTTTTGGAATTTCACAGTGATGCGCCAGAACATGGATCATTTTTCATCATTTATGCTGGGTGTACATTTTTTGTGCTAATCTTTTCAATATGGAAATTTATTACCTTCAGGTCTTGGAAATTACTGTTGGTTTTTCTTCTTCCCATGGTCTGTTTTACTTTCTACATATTGAACTTCCAACTAGTCTTCTAATTATCTTATCTTTTCTCTCTCATTTTCAGTTTCGTCCTTTTGTTCTACTTTCTGGGAGATGTCTTCAGCTGTGTCTTCTAGCTCTTCTGTTGAGTTACTCATTTCTACTCATATTTTTAACTTCTATAACTCCTTTGATTTCATTTCTTTTGTTTTAGCATCTTTTTCTTATTAACTTATCTTTTAAAGAATAACTGATGTTTTCTTCTCACTGTATAACTTCTGTGTCCTTGAAGTTTGTTGTTGTTATGGTGTCTTTAATATTAAATGCTTTCTTTGAATGTTTCCTAATCATTTACTATCTGCTCATATTTCAGGGTGGGACTGTAAAACTAATTGGAAACTGTGCATGTGGGTGTGGCTTGTCAACAGTTCTATTCACTATATGGCTGGAACATTTCTTTGGGAAAAGTCCAATGCCAAGAGTCCCTAGAGTGAACAATCTTCTTCTACCTTGTACCCAGCATTTCAGAAGCCATGTGGGGAAGAAGGCTGGGCCTAGCTTCTGGTATATCTGTAAGCGTCACTTCATTTTCTTTCTTTCTTTCTTTTTTGCTTTGAATGTGATATTAGTCTGCTAGGAGTGCAGTAACAAGCTACTACAGACAGAGTGTCTTTTGCAGAGTTGATCTCTTCTGAGACTTCTCCCTTTAGCTTGTAGATGGCCTCCTTGACTTCCTTCTGTGTGTTTGTGTCCTAATGTCCTCCTTTGATAAAAATACCTGTCACAGTGAATTAGAGCCAGCTTAATTACCTTTTAAATTAACACCCTATTTCCAATTATAGTCATATTCTGAGGTGTTGGGAGTTATGACTCTAACATATATGTTTGGTGAGGGGACATTATTCAGTCTATAGCATAGATCCAATCCAAAGACCCTTTCTTTACCCTCTAGAGAGCAGACTTCTTATATTTTGCTGATATGGGAAAGTGTCAGTCATGTGGCTGTACTAAGTAGAGGAGGACATCAGGGGAATGGGAAGACCTATCCAAGCTTCTTAAATGAACTTTTATTGAGAAGGTAATTTTAATTCTACCTTGACTCTGATGCCACAGGTACTTTGTCCTGCCAGTTTCTGAGCCTTAAAGGAATTTTGTATTATAAGTGTGTTGGCTCTTGGCTTTCTATACTTTTGGCTTACCATTTAGCTATCTTGGGTCTGTTGAGTCATTTTCCAGTCTTCTCTCTGGCTTGTCAGCTCCTAATGTTTATTGCTTTTGTCTCTGATTTCTATTCTTCCTGTCTGGGCTTATGCCTTAATAAACAACCAAGCACACATACAAAAACCCTCTTTGTTGTTATTTTAGGGGATTCAAAAGGAACTAACTGCATGTATTCAGTCTATCATCTTTAAATATATAGAATTATCATACATATTTTAAATTATTGCATGAGATAGGAAGAATCAAACTTTTTCCCAGTCTTACTGCTCAACTCAGAACACTAAAATGTAAGATTTTTTCTCACCAACAACAAACTCTACAGCAACTCCAACTGTCTGTCCTACAATTTAACTCAAATCTGATAGATCCTGGAGTTTAGGGTAGACTCCACAGGCCAAAGGCTTAATCCCACAAGACTGCCCACTACTTCACCCGCCAGTTGCAAATTCCAGGTTGTGACCAATGCTTCTGACCCGCCACCTATAAATCAGGGTTATCACAACCTCCTTCTTGGGTTCAAAAATTTGCTAGGATGGCTCACAAAACTCTGGGAAACATTTAGGTTTATCAATTTATTATAAAGGATAAAAGATACAGATAAATAGTCAGATGGAAGAAATGCATAGGCAAACTATGTGAAGAGGGGTACAGAGCTTCCATGACCTCAGTGATTGTATCCCCTCCAAACACCTTCAGGTGTTCAGCTTTCCACAAGCTCTTCAAACCATGTCTTTTTAGGTTTTTTGGGGGGCTTTATTATGTATGTGTGATTAATTACATCATTGACCATTGGTGAGCAGCTCAACTTTCAGCATCTCCTGTCCCCAGAGGTCTGGGAAGAGGGCTTTGGGTTCCAATCCTCTAATCACATGGTTGGTTTCCCAGGCAGCCAGCTCCCATCTTGAGGCTTTTCAGGAGCCTACCAGGAGTCTACCTGTAAAGACAAAAGATGCTCCTAGCACCCAGGAAATTTCAGGGATTTAGGAGTTCCATTTAAGGCCTTCATAGTACTTAGGAAATTACAAAAAGTTTTAAGAGCTCAATGTCAGGAACCAGGGTTGAAGACCCAAATATTAGAACAAAAGATTATTGTAGTGTCTCTGTTTACAGGGATTTTAGTAGTTCTATGTCAGGAACCAGGTACATAGACCAGTAAGTATTTCTTTTTAATTCACAATTATGAAAATATATTTGTAGACAGTTTTCAGAAAAGTTTGAGACAGCTTTATTTTTAGTACACCTAGTGTGTAGAAGACTATTTTAGGCACTGTGGAATGAAACAAAGAGCACGAGAAATTTCGTTTCCCAAGTGGAAGACAGAACATAAGCAAACATGAGATTGAAGAATACTTTTATAAGGAAACAGCCCAACAAGGACAAGTGATACAATACAAACTAAACATGTTTTGTGGTAGTCCCAAGTGAATAGACACAGATGAATATGGTCTTGAATGACTGCCTCAAAGAAGTGAATTTGAAGTAGTATTTTCAAAGTGAGGTTCATGGCTTTTAGAAAAAAAAAAAAAATATGTGGGACTTTCCAGGTAGAGCTACAGATCATTACTGGTTGCATATATTGCCAGGCATTTTGCTGAGTGGAGGGAGAGAAAAATGTAAGTAGCATATAGGAAAGTTAAGTTGAGTTCATTTTACCAGAGCAAGAGGTCTGAATTTTTTGGTATTAGGTAGGGAGAGAGGACATACAGAAATAATAGTGTGATATAGCAGATCAGAAAAGAATAGAAAAGGGACAATGCAAGTGAAAAGAGATATTTTTAGAGAGAAGTACCTTTCCCTGAAATTATCTGACTTATCTAGTGACTGAAAAATCATAGCAAACCAGTTAAAAGCCAAGTCCAAGAAATAAATGATACTGAGAAGCAAGGCTGACCTCCACTTGGAATTACTAGTTAGAACGACTGTCATTCAAATATTCTCTGTAATTTCTTGAGGCTCTTCATTCATTCTTCTGTTTCTGCTGTAAATTTTTTCTTGAATCCTGAACCACCATTTAAAAAAAGAGAGGTTTAGCTTTTTTGGTTGAAATTGGAGCTATAATGTATTTTTCAGTGAAGGAAGTTTTCCACTTTGGAAAACGACTTGGAGTTTAGGAGATATTTTCTATTTCACTGCATTAGCAAAGATAATTTCATCTTTCTCCTTTCTACTCCTTAAATCATGACAAAAGCTGTAGGTTATTTTATTCACTAGGAAAGTCAAATGTTTACATCAGCAATGTATTATAATTAACTTGCTTTGAGTAGCCTCAAAGATATATAGCCAATCATGTGGTTCCTAGATTTTCAATATATACTACCGTAATTATTGACTTTATGATAATAGCATGCTGGCTCCATCTTACTAGTTTCTTAGCTAAAATAATTTGTTTGAAAACAAGCATATAAGTTGAAAAACTTTTAATATAATATTTTCTCATGTCAAATCTAGAATATACTTACATTAAGGATTCATATATAGTAAAGAACATCAATCAGAGAAGAGAAACTTTCATTTTTACCTTCAATCTGAATGCAATAGGTCAATACTTTAAAATGTATGAATTGAACCAATGTAATTTATAAGTGTGATAGTTCAAATTAATTTTTTTCCTTTTGGAAATGAAGATTATGAGTGATTTGCTGTGGGGTGTGTATGGGAGAAAGAGGGAGGAGAGAGAAAGAGATGGCTGAGGAACTTCTCTATTAAGGGTCAGAAATCAATAAATAATTGAGTTGCTATTTCTACATCTAATTGTAGAAATTATCTTAATTGATAATGCCTTTAATATGGAGACTTGGATCACCAAACAAAGCTAATTTTAAAGATTTGGCAACAAATAACCCAGTCAATTAGTCTTAGGAAACAAGATCCTAAAAAAAAAAATTGTGTCACATTTTTGATATGTCATCAGCCACTTACAGGCATATGTTGGAGATATTGAAGGTTGGGTTCCAGACCATCGCCATAGAGTATCACCATAAAGCAAGTCACACAATTTTTTTGGTTTCCCAGTGTATGTAAAAGTTATGTTTACATTGTGCATTATTAAGTGCAACAGCATTATGTCTAAAAAACAACTTAGATGTTTTAATTATAAAATTAATATATTGCTAAAAAATGCTAGCAATCATCTGAGTCTTCAGCAAGTCATAATCTTTTGCTAGTGGAGAGTCCTGCCTCAATGTTGATGGTTGCTGATTGATCAGGGTAGTGGTTGCTGAAGGTTGGGGTGGCTGTGGCAATTTCTTATGAAAAAATGAAGTTTGCCACATCAATTGACCTTTCCTTTTACAAAAGATTTCTCTGATAGCATTTTATCCACAGTAGAACTGCTTTCAAAATTGGAGTCAGTCCTCTCAAACTCTGTTGCTGTTTTATCAACGGAGTTTATGTAACATTTTAAATTCTGTGTTGTCATTTCAACAACATTCACAGCATCTTTACCAGGAGTAGATTCCATCTCAAGAACACACTTTCTTTGCTCATCCCTAAGAAGCAACTCCTTCAAGTTTTATCATGACATTCCAGCAATCCAGTTACATCTTCAGTCTCCACTTCTAATTCTAATTCTTTTCCTATATTTCTATCGCATCTACAGTGACTTCCTTCACTGAAGTCTTGAACCCTTCAAAGCCATCCATGAGAGTTGGAATCACCTTCCAAATTCCTGTTAATATTGCTGTTTTGATTGCCTCCCATAAATCTCAAATGTTTTTAATGGTATCTGGAATGGTGAGTCTTCTATATTTGAAGCCCAGTATTGAGACTTACTATGTGGAAAGAAAGATTCCTTTCAAATTATTACCATTCATTAACAGTATACCTAGTTACCCAAGAACTCTGGTGGAGATGCGTGTCATGAAGATGGCTTCTTTCCTTAAACCTCTTAAATCAACCTCTTGTAGCTTCCAACTTTTCTTCTGCAACTTCCTCACTTCTCTTAGCCCTTCTAGAATTGAAGAGAGTTAGGACTTGCTCTGGATCAGGTTTTTGGCTTAAGGCAATGTTCTGGCTGGTTTCATCTGCAGACCACTCAGACTTTCTGCATATCACCAATAAGGCTATTTCACTTTCTTCTGTGATTCATGTCCTCACTAAAGTAGCACTTTTAATTTCCTTCAAGAGGTTTTCCATTGCATCCATAACTTGGCTACAGTGATTGGCTACTACTGATAATTACTAACCATGTTCTCAAACTTTCTAAACAAGGCCTACTGAGTTGGGACAGGAAACCCTAATAGTTTCTTACTCCATCCCACATCTTTTCTGGCTTCCCTGAGATGTTGGACCAGCTTTTTAACCTCTATAAGCTTCTGTTTCCAGCAGGGAAAATAAGAGCAAGTGCTTTAAAAGTGTACTAAGTGCAAGAAAGAGAAGCCAGTTGAAGGCAGCGGGGACTCCTAGTCCAGTCTTCACTTTCTCTTCTATCTCCCATTAAAGAATTTGCCTGTGTTTTCTATTTTTGCCTTGTGAAATTCTATTTTTTAAAAGGGAAAGTACAGGTTGTTTTTAACATTAAGAAAAGAGTATGCCCAAATAGTCCTATTATCCTCAGTATTTTAGTCTTACCCTGAGTATCTCAATATTAATTGTATGTGTTTAATTCAAATAGATTAGGCATTTGGGACAGTAATATTTCTGTCTTATATTTTTGTTTTACTATCAATATTTTCAGTTTCTCATTTCTTGTATAATTATCTGTGCTTAGAAAGCCAAAAACCCAACAGTTAAATAATGGCATTGTGCAGACTGAAGTAGTCAGTGCCATCTGCTTTGTACTTTTTTTTCTCATATGCTGCAGTTCCCATCTGTCTGAGCTATCTTTCTCCTTGATGCAATTGAAACATGAAAACTTCCTTAAATCTTTGTTAAAACTCTTAGAACCTGTAGTTAGGATGCTCTTTTGGAATTATAGTCTTTTATGGGTAAAATATTGAAATTATCTCAGTAGTGTTAAATAACAAGAATGCTATGTCAACTCTCTAACAAGGAAAGTCAGTAAATCACTGTAACCCAGGATTTCCTTGTGTTTTAAATATGGTTGTAGAGTTGCATACTTACTATAATATAGCAAGTTTTTCTAGCAAATACTAGAGTAGAAATTGTCAATGCAGAAGGTGAGCATTTTCATCTAGCTATAAAGTTATCAAGATGATATGCACTAGATTTTCTTAGAGGAAAACACTATGGCCCTTAGACCGGGGCAAGAGGGGCACCTTCCCTGGGTTCCACACTTGGCAAGCCCTACATGACTATCTCCAGCTATTCCCCTCCCACAAGGTGAGGAGTATTGCAAGGACATGAAGTATCCACCTGGAGTTCATTCTCTCTCTTTCAACTGCATACTCCAGGTATCTAGAGTGTGGAATTCCCTGCCCAAATGATCCCAAATCTACTTCTATCCAAGGAGTGGCCAGGGATGTTTATGTGGAAAGCTAGTGCATGAGCTTGAGCCTGTGGGTTAATGTATCCACACCCATTTGAGCCCCTAGTCAGTGTCAGAGAGCTGAGAACAAGAAGACAAGGTAGGCAAGCAGTGGGAGTTCAGGTCTCATTCCTCTGTCATCTCACTGATACTCTGAGGAGTTTAAGAATCCTGAATTTGAACCTAGCCTTCTAGGACCCTGTGAAGTTATATGTTTCAAGGTAGAGCATAGAACATACTTTGACAATTATTTGTCAGATTCGTAACTGTCAAGTATTTATGGGTAGATAGTATGTGGGTCTCTAGTTGTATTCTTACTGTGAGATGTAGAAAGGGTCTGGGAAAAGAAATAAAGAGATCATTTGCACCTTCATTTCTCCTTATGCATGGGCCTATGTCTTTTGACCCTTTGGTTAGTTCAGTACTTGTTAGGCCTTCCAGGATAACATTAGGGTGGGCTGTTAGCCATAATCTGGTATAAGCCTGTGACCGCTAGTGGTACTCCAAGGTCTTTGCATGAAATGATGTCCTTTAAGCTTATGTACTTACTGCTACCATGATAGCAGGTGGTAAATTGAGTAACTGATCTGTGGGGAGCAAAAGGGAGAAGGGAAGTTGGATTCACATGTGGCTAAAATGTTTTCTTAAGATTATATGTGAATTTCAGTTTCCCACTAAGCACTGATTATTAGCTGTTGGCCCTTCACTTTCTAAGATCTGGAGAAAATATTTCTGCACCTACTTGAATATTTTTGGGTTAAAAAAAAGAGAATAACTAGCATAAGAAATGTGGTATCAGGGTTCATTCCTTTATGTCTATGTAAATACTATTTAAGGAGAGAGGAAATGAACAGTTAATATCTTCACATTACTCTGATATGCAGTTTATGTTCTAAGAGAATTTAGAAGTGAAACTCTTAATTCTTTCAGAACTTCTATAATAAATTCTAATTCAAATGGTATCATTTACTCTATATACAAACAATATTTTCTGAGCTTGGGGTATTAATTTCAAATTTTTCTAGTATTTATTGTAATATTTGATTCCTTTTATCTACTTGTATATTAGTACCATAGTCCTAATCCTAGCATCTTCAGCTTTTCACTTGAATTAATTTTCCAGATACCAAAATCTAGAAGTTTTTGTTTCAATCATTTTTAAAATGTTCTCTGATCATATCTGTAATACATACATAGAAACATAGAGACACAAGAATGTATATTTTACTTGCTTTTGTCAAAGAGATCTTCTAAAATAGTTTAATAGTGCTACTATTGTTAAGCCTTAAAGGCTTTAGTTTCAGGACTTTTCCATTGTGTAAGAAAAGACTTGGGAATGTACGGTGGCTCACAACTATAATCTTAGCACTTTGGGAAGCCAAGCCAGGTGGATTGCTTGAGTCAGGTGGAATTTGACACCAGCCTGGGAGACATGGTGGAACCCTATGTCTTAAAAAAAAAAAAAAAAAAAAAAGACTTTAGAATGTAAATTTATTCATTATAAAATAAAATTAGGTTATTTTTTAGAACATAATGGTTTAATATGCTAATAACAGATATGAGGGAATAACACTCATTGAGTTCATTTTTCAAATTATAGAAGTATTTACAGGTCTTGGACAGCAAATATCTTAGGAAATAAAATGGAAAATTTATTCTTATTGATGAATTTTTAAAATATGTAGGCATTTTAGTGAAATTGAAGCTTTCTAGAAAATAAAAGCTGAGTGTATGCTTTCTCTTAGTGGTTTAGTATTACTTCTTATTAATTTATGTATCAGTAAGAGAAAATGAATCACTTTTTAGGCTTGTACTACAGAAAGTGCCAGTTAATTTCCAAGGAAGATGTTACTCATGATACAAGGCTTTTCTGTTTGATGCTGCCACCAAGCACTCATCTTCAAGTGCCCATTGGGCAACATGTTTACCTCAGGCTACCTATTACAGGTAAGGTAAATAGAGGCTTTGGGATATATTTTCCTCTTTTATAAGCAGTTCAAAATCAGTACTATTCTCCCTAGAAAAGAACCATTTAAGTTATTAATAAATGTTTCCAGGCAGCTAAATTTAGTGAGAGTCAGAATCTAGGTTTGTGACTGCAACATGTCCTACATGTTGGAACTATCGCTGTACCACATTATCGTATGGAACAAAGATATTGCCAGTAATTTAGAGAGATGCTCCACCAGCATTGTAATTTACTACTAACAAAACCCTAAAGGAAAGAGATGAGAGACTGCACAAATAGTCCTCCATGAAGGCAACTACTAGAAGCTCATACTGGCATCTTTTATTAGCTTCTTAGGATTGTATCATTTATGAAGTTGAATCTGTAAAATTTTAAATGAGTGAATGATGAGAAATGATTTTATTATATGTGCTACCAGTATAAGAAGCTCTATAAATGTATAAATATGAATTCTTACCTGACTTGTTTTGAATACCCTTCTTATTGATACCCAACGTTTTCTTGGCCTTTTGAAGCTGCAAACAGTAAAATTCTCCTGTCAGCTGTAGTATTCCTAGCAATGAATCTAAAATGTTACTAGTTAGGTCATGGTAGATAGGATATATTATGATGGGGCACTATTAAGGTTTTCTTTTTTTCATCACTAATGCCAGATTACCTACTTCAAGAGCTGGTATCTTCTCCAGTTATTGCCACTGCATTTTAATTTATATATGTATTTTGTATATGTTAAGGAGCCATGCATAAAATTTTGGTCTTTCAAACAGTGGTGATTCTTCTCTTTGGAATTTGGCTACCTAAAAATATAAAAATATAAAATGAGTTCTTATTTATTTTACTTTTTAAGAAAATAATATATTTGGCTGGGCTCAGTGGCTCACTCCTGTAATCCCAATACTTTGGGAGGTTGAGGCAAGAGGATCACCTGAGGTCAGGAGGAGTTCAAGACCAGCCTGGCCAACATGGTGAAACCCCATCTCCACAAAAATAACAAAGTTAGCCAGGCATGATGGCAGGTGCCTGTAATCCCAGCTACTTGGGAGGCTGAGGTGGGAGAATTGCTTGAACCCGAGAGGCAGTGGTTACAGTGAGCCAAGATCATGCCATTGCACTCGATCATGGGTGACAGAGTAAGACTCCATCTCAAAAAAAAAAAAAGAAAAATCAATATATTCTTAGAAGTAGCTGGATTAACATTCTTTTTACTCAGTTACCAAAGTAATATATAATACATTAAAATATTTAAACCATTTAAAGTACGTAAAATAAAAAGTGAAATTTCTTCCTTTTTCTCCTCCAAACGATCCCATTGGTCATCAGTTTCCATTTTTAAAAATTTGGTGTATAATTAAAATTATTAGGTAAATACTTTTTTTACATCTCCATGGTAAACTTTTGATGCCATTTTTGTTGTGGCCCATTACAAAGTTTATTTGCTGATGGAATAGATGGTTGTCTAAAATTATTACCATATATTTCTATTAGATTAGACTAAACATAATAAAAACAGATTGTTTACATTATGGGTGCAATATTGATTTGTGAAAATTATTTCAGCACATATAGGCTTGGAGTATATATTCATATATATACTATATACATATAGAATAGTCATTAGAATTATATACCCATTAGATATATAGTTTTAAATATATACTGATAGTATCATAAAATTTGTATGTTTCATCTTCATTAAGAGATTTTTTTGAATTTTAGAATTTAATTTTTTTTGTTGTGATTTTTTTTCTAGGTACAGAAATAGTAAAGCCATATACACCTATATCTGGTTCCTTATTCTCAGAGTTCAAGGAACCAGTTCTTCCCAACAATAAATACATCTACTTTTTGATAAAAATCTATCCTACTGGACTCTTCACACCAGAGCTTGATCGTCTTCAGATTGGTTAGTGTTTTTACATTTTTTTAAACCTTGTTTGTGCTCTAGATTGGATCAAATTGCTCTCTAGTTATCTCCACATAGGAGCCTATCAAATATCTTTAACTCAACATGTCTGCAACCAAAATTATCTTCTCTTTGTCCCACGCAGCATGCCCATACACCATATTCCCTGTTTTTATTGTTTGCATCATCACTGTTCATCCTTGATCCCATCTGGAGACTCGAGTCAGCCTTGATTCTTCCCATTTTCTCTCTCCCAGTCCGGTCAGCCACTAAGTTCTGTTGAGTCTACATCTCGGTGACTTTTTCAGCTACCTCTTCTGCCGCTCTATATAGTAAGCCTTCATCATTTCTTTGTTGGCTTCTAACTGTTTTGTCACAATTGAGCGTAGCTGCTTTGCAGCTTTGAAACCTCTGATGGCTCCCCATTGCCTATACTGTATGGCCTACGTAAACTTTGATAATCTCTCCAACTTTATCTCTTGCTATACAAAAATACTTGTGCTACTCACAGTTTCACAGGTTTGTCATCCTCATTCACAGGTATATGCAGTTTTCACACCCAAAATGCCCATCAACCCTTTATCAAGTGCTTTTTTAAAAAGACCCAACATCGGCTGGGTGCAGTGGCTCATGCCTATAGGGCAGATCACTTGAGATCGAGAGTTCGAGACTAGCCTGGCCAACATGGGGAAATCCTCATTTCTACTAAAAATACAAAAATTAGCTGGGCCTGGTGGCGGGCGCCTATAATCCCAGCTACTTGGGAGAAGTATTTAAGCAGAATTGCTTAAATCCAGGAGGCAGAGGTTGCAGTGAGCCGAGATCACGCCACTGCACTCCAGCCTGGGCAGAGCAAGACTCTGTCTCAGAACATAATAATATCACTTTATGGAGCCCTCCTCCTCCCCTGAAACCCCTAATAACTAACAGTTTGTTCGTAGCTCTATTATAAGAGTAAATATATTTCTTCATTACAAGACTTTGAGTTTAAGAGCAGAAATTGTCTTACTTATCTTTGTATTTTCAACACCTGGCAAGGCAGTTGGTACATAATAGGCTGTCAGTAAATGTACTTTGTTTTTTTGTTTATTTTGTTTTTGAGACTGCTCTGCCACCCAGGCTGGAGTGCAGTGGCTTGATCTCAGCTCACTGCAACCTCCATCTCCTGGGTTCGAGTGATTCTCCTGCTTCAGCCTCCCAAGTAACCAGGACTATAGGCTCACACTACCATGCCAGCTAATTTTTCTGTTTTTAGTAGAGATCTTCACTATGTTGGCCAGGCTGGTCTCAAACTCCTAATCTTAGGTGGTTGGCCCGCCTCTGCCTCCCAAAGTGCTGAGATCACAGGTATGATCACAGGTGTGAGCCACCGTGCCCAGCTAGTAAATGTACTTTGAAAGAATAAGTACAGAACTATAATAAGATCTATTAAGATTTAAAAACCTCTTTTCTTGCTTCTGCTCCCAAGGTGTCTTTTACTACTTTTTCTGTATTTTGTTTTCTCTTTCCTTGGAAAGTATTCCTCTTTCCAAGGCAGCATTAGCAGTATTTAGGGGTACCAGTGAAGTGGATCACTAAAATTTGGAAATTAACAAAATTACATTATTTTCTTAAATGTAGTAATAGATACGATTCTGCAAATTTTATCTACTTCACATAGTAGATATGATTAATCATCACTGGTTACATAAACCAAAATATCATATATGAATTTGAACCTGAAGTATTTTGGAGTACCTACAAAGCTAGTGCAGATAACTATCACCTTATGAAAGAAGGACTGACACATGATTGTAATACAGTAAGTGGAAACTTAAGGAATGGTATTATAGCCTATTTACGGAGATTTTTGTGAACATAGCAGGGTGGACAGTTGTCCTAGAGTGTAGAAAGTGAAAGCTCAAAGAACAAGATGAAGTGTTATTTCAACTTCATTTAGGGAGGCTACACATGGCACAAATACTTGTGTCACTTAGAGAGTTGTACACTAAATGAATGACCCCATACAATTATCCATCTCTTTATTTCAATCCCATGTTCACTAAGCAACATGATTTTACATGATTAATTTGGCTTTTCAAGTGTCCTGATACTGGAAACAAGATATCCCTAATGGGACATGTTCAGGTCACTAGATACATGTAACCCCAGCTATAAATCAAAATATATTGCCATTCTGGCATGTGTGCTATAACCTCTTCTGAATTTGATTAGCATTAGTTATCCTACCAGAGTCTAATCAATTTTGTTAACATTGGAAAGACTAGGCTGTGGGTAAAAGTTACCAAATCAATACTATCCTCTGATGCTTCTTTAGTAAACAACTATCTGGCTTTTTCCTAAGGACCCTCTGATCTTATGGTCTTTTGCAAATTATAACAAGAAGCTTCTATTATTTTCAAATACTTATTTCATCAATTACTTCAAGATTCTTACTATCCTGCACTGGAAAACAAAAAGTTATGAGCACCCAAGCATTTTAAAATGGGATAAATCGGCCGGGCGCAGTGGCTCACGCCTATAATCCCAGCACTTTGGGAGGCCGAGGCAGGTGGATCACGAGGTCAAGAGATTGAGACCATTCTGGTCAACAAGGCGAAACCCCGTCTCTACTAAAAACAATACAAAAATTAGCTGGGCATGGTGGTGCGTGCCTGTAGTCCCAGCTACTCAGGAGGCTGAGGCAGGAGAATTGCTTGAACCCAGGAGGCGGAGATTGCGGTGAGCCGAGATCGCGCCATTGCACTCCAGCCTGGGTAACGAGCGAAACTCCATCTCAAAAAAACAAACAAAAAAAATGGGATAAATCATTTATAGACAGCTTTATTTTTCATTTTAAGATTATGTTTCAAGTTTTTGAATCTAGTTGTAAAGGTGGTTTTCTCATATGAATGGTACATGGTGATTATATCAACTGGGCTGTAGAAAATGGGCACTGATTTCTCAACTGTGTTGATTCTAGATTGGAAAGTGGCATGCTCCAAGTACAGTTGACTGCATTTCTGATCTTGCCTTGTTTTTATGGGAATTAAAATCAGAACCCCCTTCTAAATTAATAGGTCTTTTTAAAAATTTGGTAGAAGAGAAGTTGGTGTGTTTATCAACATAAGTTTTTAGAATATATTTCTATATTTCGATTTCAATTTTCTCTCCTACTAATCCTGTTACTATGGTTAAGAATCATATGTAAATAGTGAATATCTATTCTTTGTTCTACCATGCAAGACAGATATATATGTACTCTGCTTTTGAAGTACTTAAAATTTAGTTTAGCAATCAATCATTTATTGATAATTTGTGGATAAGTACTTTGCAGCATTTTGTAAATTTCAGACCAGATGGTTTGGGAAAATAGTGGTGGGAAATTATCATAAAACTTCATTATTAATTTGATTATAATGATATAATTCAGACATACTTGGGGGCCTAAAGAGTATCCTTAAGACTACTTATAGACTGATACATAGTCTACAAGTTAAGTATGTATATTGTTACTCCTCAGTGTTGTAAATTCAGGTACTTTCAGCTTTTTAGTTTCTCTGCTGGGTCTTTTGTTTTGTTTTTGTTTTTTTCTGATATAGTTTATATTTCATTGTTTAGGAGATTTTGTTTCTGTAAGCAGTCCTGAGGGCAATTTTAAAATATCTGCGTTCCAAGAATTAGAAGATCTCTTTTTGTTGGCAGCTGGAACAGGCTTCACACCAATGGTTAAAATACTGAATTATGCTTTGACTGATATACCCACTCTCAGGTATGTATTTTGTCTCTAATTTTCCTTTTTGAGGCTGTTATATTAGTATAAGGTATTCTAAATCGATTACTCGCTGGATCTTAATAGACACGTTCCCATGTCCTCATTCATCATTTCTTACTTTCCCTTCTCTAATCCTAGCTATTTAACTAGGTTCTTTTATCTCATTTCCGTGTTTGATGATTTTAGTTACCTACTGGGCACTAAAACATTCCCATTGGTTCACTTTAGACTTTCCATTTGGCATATTTTAAATGTAATTAATTAGTTCTTTCTGAGTTTTTTTTTTTTTTCTTTTAAGGAAAGTGAAGCTGATGTTCTTCAATAAAACAGAGGATGATATAATTTGGAGAAGCCAACTGGAGAAATTAGCGTTTAAAGATAAAAGGTATTAAACTGTTATTAACTCTACATTTAGTTATTTATACCTATGTAATAAGTCTAGGCCTGGGGACTAGGGGAGGGACCGCGGAAAGTAGGGAGTTGGGGAGAGATAACATGGGGAGAAATGCCAGATATAGGTGACGGGGATGGAGGCAGCAAACCGCATTGCCGTATATATACCTCTGCAACAATTCTTCATGTTCTGCGCATGTACCCCAGAACCTACAGTGCAATAAAATATATTTTTTTTAAAAAGTCTAGGCCTTATCTTCTCTGGTTGGAGTTTTGATTGGCCAGGAAGTGCCATCAAAGAAAAAAAATAAACCAGTAATTCTCTAACTGCAAATCATGTCAAATGTTCTTCTTCTCTCAAATAAACACTTTCTGGTAAAATCTAGGCAACCTTATATATGTGTCATTAAGATGCATATTGGGCTTTATGATCATATTATACGATTTATGGTAAGCTGGGTTTCCCTGACCAATATGGTGAAGACCAGCCTGAGCAATACAGTGAAACCCTGTCTAAAAAAAAAAAAATTTGTAAAATTTTATTTTTTTAATAATAGACATTGTACTAATAGGACTTCAACTTGATTTATAAATTAATTGGTAAAAAGGAATGTATTGACAGTCTCTGAACCTAAAGTATCTTTTAACAAAGTCAACTGCGTTATTTGGTTTGTTTTGTTTTGATTACATAATTTGGGTTTGTGAAATTGCATAGACTGCAGTTTTGAGGATGAGGAAAGGCTGCTTTTTTTTCCACTTCTGGATGCCTGGCTCTAACAGCACTCACCAGGTGAGTGGTACTCTAGCTTGCTGAGAGAAGAGATAGTGTTCCAACTTCCAGCCTGCCTTTATCCTCCCTCTGCTGTTCCTTCTCTTTCTCTTCTTGCTCTCCCTTGCTGCTGGTGTGTGTTCTTTCTCTCTTCTCCCTAACCTCTTTCTGGAGACTTTGCTCTCCTTGCTTGAGACACTCTGGAGGCACTGACTCCTAGTATTGTGTGACTTATGATCCCCATAGACTCATGGTGGTTTTTTTTTTTTTTTTTTTTTTTGGAGTGAGGCTAGGTCAAGCCCTTAAAGGCTTTTTGATGGGATTTGGTAGTCCTAGTCAGCCAACACATAATTATTGTGTTCCCTACAAAATAGGAAAGTGAAAGTTAAGATTTAAGTTGGGGTAATTTTAATTAGTCACAACTGTCTTTTAGTTAACATTTAAGGCTCTTTGTATTTTAATGTAGTAAATCACTCTTTCCCACATCTTGACCCTCCTATATCACTTCCAGTTTTAGTAATAAAGTTTCTGATGACAAAATAAGTTACTGGAACACATCTCTGTGGTTAAATTATTATTGAACTGTAAATATTTTTTTAAAAATTCATAGTTAAGAGAAATACTCAAATCTCTATATGATTAAGTCCCAGTCTTCTACTCCATCCTTTGTGGAACAAGGAGAGGATAGGACTTACGGATTCTGAGGCTGATATATGATCGAATATTTTCTGCAAGCATGCCGTGCTTGTCCTCAGAGTTTATCTAGATAATATCATTAGCAAATGGAATTCTTCAAAATAAAATTGTGTAATGGAAAGTTATTAATCTCTTGACCTTAGGCAAATTAGTTTATCTGGTGGCTGAGCCTCAGTTTTTCCATCTATAAAACAAACATTAATACCTACACCACAGAATTATTTGGGCATGGGAATCAATGAGTTAGCCTATGTAGGTGCCTAGCCCAGAATTAGTATGTTTATAGCAGATTCACTCATGAAATATGTGTAACTTCTGTTATGTGCCTGTACACATGGATCCAACAATAATAAGATACTGTGTTTAGTTATTTTCTTATGCAGCCCAGGGAATGCATCTCTTCATTTTCTCTAATTATGGCCCTCAGTAGTGTTGCAAAACTATAGATGCTTCTTAAATAATTTTTAGAGTATTACTCTTTCTATTTCAACCTGATTTTCATGTCATTAAGTATGAAATCCAGAAGGCCGGGCAAGGTGGCTCACGCCTATAATCCCAGCACTTTGGGAGGCCGAGGCGGGTGGATCACGAGGTCAAGAGATCGAGACCATCTTGGTCAACAAGGTGAAACCCGGTCTCTACTACAGATACAAAAAATTAGCTAGGCATGGTGGCGCGTGCCTGTAATCCCAGCTACTCGGGAGGCTGAGGCGGGAGAATTGCCTGAACTCAGGAGGAGGAGGTTGCGGTGAGCCAAGATTGTGCCATTGCACTCCAGCCTAGGTAACAAGAGTGAAACTACGTCTCAAAAAAAAAAAAAGAAATCTGAACAGAAAAGTTTACCCCAATTTTATCCTTACAAATGTGTTATTACGCTTGACTGTTCTAGCAGTTGGGATTCAATTCACAACATTCCAAGTCTAGCAAAATCTTACACATTTTTTTCTTATGAAAAATGAGAGAAAGAAGGCAAATATGTGCAATAGCGGATTTAATTATGTAAACCGAAATCCAAAATAAATGCCACTTATCCTTCTCCCAAATAGGTGAGCAGTGTTATGAGGCTCAGTTCATTCAGTACGCATTGCCCCTCACCCCCCACTCCTATCAGCAGAATGCCCTAGCTCTGTTAGATCTCTGCTTTTGTAGAATGAGTTTTGTGGGATAGGACAGGTGGGATGGTTTGACAATGAGGCTGACTTCTAGAAAACATTTTGTGGTATATAAATATAACAGGCATTTTCCTTTCATTTCAAATCAATCATTCTTAGAGACCATTAACCTTGTTTTAGTAAAGGTAGTAGAACATTCTTTTTATAAACAGCATTTGTTGATTTTCCCTTCTGTCTATAAAATTAATACATGTTTATATAGAAAAGGTGTAAGAAAAAAATCACCCACAATCCTACCACCCAAAGAACAATTATTAACACTATGGTCTGTATCTTTCTATTCATACACATATCTATCTTTTTGTTTTATATATTTAAAATAATATAGTCATACTGACTATCCTTTTAACTACATTTCTACTTATTGTATTGTGTGTTTTTTACATAAAGAGTATTTTCAACAGGTGGTTTTCACCCTAGAGCAGCTCTGTTACCCGGGAAACATTTATGTCTGGAAACATTTTTGATTGTTACAATTGGGGAATAGTTACTACACCTAGTTGGTAGAGGCCGGGAATGCTACACAGTGTCTTACAATGCTCAGGAAAGCCCTCTACAACAAAGAATTCTCCAGCCCGAAGTGCTAGTAGTGCCAGTTAGTAAATCCTGCAATATACTGTGATTTTCAATAACTTCATTGTGTTCAGTCATGTGAGCATACCGTAATTTATTTAGCCAATTTCATACTATTTGACATAGTGTCTAGAAATTGTTCAGTACCTTTCTAACTATTCAGAATAAAAACATATCAGAAGAATTGTTAGGTCAAATCGTTCGAAGGCTGTTGATACATTTTATTATTATTATTATTATTACACTTTAAGTTCTGGGATACACGTGCAGAACATGCAGGTTTGTTATATAGGTATACACGTGCCATGGTGGTTTGCTGTACCCATCAACCCATCATCTACATTAGGTATTTCTCCTAATGCTATCCCTCCACTTGCCCCTCAGTCCCTACAGGCCCCAGTGAGTGATGTTTCCCTCCCTGTGTCCATGTGTTCTCATTGATCAACTCCCACTTATGAGTGAGAACATGCGGTGCTTCATTTTCTGTTCCTGTGTTAGTTTGCTGAGAATGATAGTTTCCGGCTTCCTCCATGTCCCTGCAAAGGAAATGGATGCATTCTTTTTTCTGGCTGCATAGTATTCTATGGTGTATATGTGCCACATTTTCTTTATCTAGTCTATCATTGATGGGCATATGGGTTGGTTCCAAGTCTTTGCTATTGTGAATAGTGCCACAATAAACATACATGCACATGTGTCTTTACAGTAGAATGATTTATAATCCTTTGAGTACATACCCAGTAATGGGATTGCTGGGTCAAATGGTATTTCTGATTCTAGATCCTTGAGGAATCACCACACTGTCTTCCACAATGGTTGAAGTAATTTTCACTCCCACCAACAGTGTAAAAGCATTCCTATTTCTCCATATCTTCTCCAGCATATTTTGACACACAGCCTCTGAAAGTGAAATCACTTAGCAGAGAATACTGCATCCAGCACAACACTGTCATTGACAGTGACATTAATACTGACAATGTTATTAACAATTATATGGTTAGTGTCATTATTTTTACACTAGAGTGGAATGGGAAGTTAATTGAGGCAAAAGAGAGGGGAAAGAAAGGGATTCTAAGTAGCAAGGAAATGGGTCACAAAGGAAAGGGGACTATTTACCCACTTATATGCAGCAACAGAAGATAAAAGACCATTTATATCTCTTTAAATATATGTGTGCTATCTGCAAAATGTGCTTGACATTACAAAAATATAAGAAATCAGACTATCCTAGTGGTGAAGTTCTGAAGTATATCACTAACTGTAAAGTCTGTGCCTTGAGAGGAACAAAAAACATACCATAGATATCTAGTGAAAAGAGTAATTCCATTGCTGTGAGGATAGGAATATCAGAGCTTCATCGAAGAAGGGGTTTTTGAGCTGGGCTTTGGGAAATGACTAGCATTTCTTTGAGCGGGAAAATAAATTTGAATAGTGGGATTGCATGAGTAAAGACATGAAAGCCAGGATATTCTGGTGTTTTAGTGACAGAGCAGAGTCATTTTCTTAAAATAAACACTGTGCGTGAAGGAGGATGATGCAGAATAACTAAGAATAAACCCATTAAACTTTGTATCAGTTTTAGAAGGAATCTTAATAGTTATTTCTATTCCTTTTTGTTTACACTTGAAGAAACAAGATAGGCTAAAATCAGGTGATGGAAGACCTTGAATGTAATTCATATGTGAAGTAAATATTATGTATCAGATAGACCTAGGAAGAAGGCACAGTGACACTCTGCAGCTCATCTCCCTGTAGTGCTGACAGGCTCCCTGGACTGTGTGTTTTTGTCTTCCGTTGTCAGTAGTAGGACTAGCAATGTGGCAGTTCCATTTAAGATAGCAAAAGCTGATGATGCCAGAAGCAGAAATAAATTGAACAGTATGCCTGAACCCATTTCTTTTTCCCCAGTCTCTTATGCACACAGATATGCAGCCTGCTAATCTGGACCCTTACAGCACTTTCTGTTTGTTCCAGGAGATGTTCTTCAGTGTTATGTTGCTTGGAATGTGTTCTTTGAAATGTTAATGTGTTTCCCTGAATGGACTCTATGATTGAATGAATTTGGGAAATAGTATATTTCTTCTTGAAGATTTACTCTGAACTTAGCATATTTAAGGCTTTCTGATATTCTAATGAAATGTATTTAACTTTTTTTAATCAACTATGTCACAGACTTATTTGATAGCCTGCTTTCATGGAATAACTACTAACATCTGGAGGCATACTAGTGTTTTATTAGATTCATTTTGAGAAATATTTCCAGAATTATGTATGTTTTATCTAATTTTGACTCCTAGTTTTGTGAGCGTTTTTGTCTGTGAGCACATAGCAACTTTTACTGCAGTTGCAGGCATTTTCTTTAGCTAGAAAATAAAGAAGGAAAAGCTGGGGCCCAAGTACTCTGAAATACTAACCTGTGAACGTGAGGAATTACTGAAGCTTTTAAGCAAAAATGTTGCAAAGTTGTATCAGTTTTTAGGTTAACTAATATGGCAATGGCATATCAAATAGGGTTAAGGTTATTAATTAATATTTTAGACAAGAGATATAAGAGCCGGATATGGAGTTGGGACAGTAAAAATGGGCAGGTAAGGGACTTTGTGAGAAATATGAAGGAGATAAGTTGCGGAAGCTGATTGGCTAGAGGAGGAGGGACTAAGTCGTTGTATGACCGCTAATAATTTAGACTAAATGAGTACATTTGTATTTCAAGACTTGTCATCTCAGATCACTATCAGCCTACTTTAAAATAAATTTTTTGACAAGCTTATTTACCTAAAATATTTACATTTGAGATTGCATTCATCAGAAGCAGGTCTGTTCTCTCCCTCTTTCATGTTATTTTGCATTTTATGGGTTATCTGAATTTATTTTCAGGTAACCTTTTCAAGAGTCCTAACGCCTTCTGGCACTTTGAAATTATAGAGGAATTTCAGGATGTTTACTGCCCCCCACATGTCTCCAGCGTCTCAAAGCTGTAATTATTTTAGACAGTATGTTAACCTTCATTCAGAAAACCCAGGAGAGAGGATTCCACAGGAACTATCTGTATTTTGATATAAAAAATATTTCATAAAGAATTACTGAGTCTTAACTTGTGAATACTCCCGTTCCAATTTAAGCTCTTTCTCAGCCTATGAAAAAGGAGATAAGCAGGATAACAGCCTCTTTACAAATCCTTAAATTGCAGCCATGCTGTCTGTTCACCTTTTCCATTGAGTGCGTAAAATTATAGTCAAGGGACCCTTATGTGAATACATAAGAAGTTTATATCATTTATGTAAGGATCTGTTATTTATCACCATTTAGTAGATACCTGCAGAAAATATACCATTGATTAGGCTTTGTTATAAAGCATCCCAGTAAAGGAAAATTATGACTACGTGCTTATGGCAGACTACAGAGACTTCAGCATTAATTTAGCAGTTTATTCCAGTGATAGGCTCATTTCAAATAGAGCCACAGGAGATCATCTTTTATCTTTTAATTTAACAAGACAATTTCTACATTTTATTTAGATATCTGTGTAATTGGAAATTTATGACACTGGTTTTATGGCTACTTTTGGCCTTTTGATCTGATGAAAGAAAGATTATGGATCTTTTTTTCCAGAAAAATATACATATGAATTCATATCATTTTTATATGCAATTTTATGGATGCCAGCACATGGCTTTGTTCTTTTAAGTACAATTTTTATTTTTAGCCAACATGGCTTCTTTGTAAATACATTTCTTTATTCAACAAGCATTTTTTTTGTGCGCTTAATTGAACGAGGCCTGGATGCAGTATTGAACAAGACAAACAAGGACCCTGCCCTCATGGAGCAGTGAGCAAATATCACATCCTGAAGTTATTCAGAACTGTCTTAGTTTTAGACATACGTGAGGCCAACAGACATATGAGAAAATGCTCATCATCACTGGTCATTAGAGAAATGCAAATCAAAACTAGATTGAGATATACCATCTCATGCCAATTAGAATGACGATCATTAAAAAATCTGGAGACAGCAGATGCTGGAGAGGATGTGGAGAAATAGGAGCACTTTTACAGTGCTGGTGGGAGTGTAAATTAGTTCAACCATTGTGGAAGACAGTGTGGCGATTCCTCAAGGACCTAGAAATAGAAATTCCTTTTGAGCCAGCAATCCCATTACTGGGTATATATCCAGAGGATTATAAATCATTCTACTATAAGGACATATGCACACGAATGTTCATTGCAGCACTGTTTACAATAGCAAAGACCTGGAACCAACCCAAATGCCCATCGATGATAGACTGGACAGGGAAAATGTGGCACATATACACCATGGAACATTATGCAGCAATCAAAAACGATGAGTTCGTGTCCTTTGTAGGGACATGGATGAACCTGGAAAACATCATTCTCAGCAAACTGACACAATAACAGAAAATGAAATACTGCATGTTCTCACTTATAGGCAGGTGTTGAACAATGAGAACACATGGACGCAGGGAGGGGAGCACTACACACTGAGGTCTGTTGCGGGGAATAGGGGAGGGACAGTGGGGGGTGGGGAGTTGGGGAGAGAAAGCATGGGGAGAAATGCCAGATATAGGTGAAGGGGAGAAAGGCAGCAAATCACACTGCCACGTATGTACCGGAGGGGAGCACTACACACTGAGGTCTGTTGGGGGGAATAGGGGAGGGACAGTGGAGGGTGGGGAGTTAGGGAGAGAAAGCATGGGGAGAAATGCCAGATATAGGTGAAGGGGAGAAAGGCAGCAAATCACACTGCCACGTGTGTACCTATGCAACTATCTTGCATGTTCTTTGCATGTACCCCAAAACCTAAAATGCAATTTAAAAAAAAAAACTATCTTAGTTTTAAGTTCTCAGAAGGTAAAATAGGTTAGTGAATATCTTTGGGGAGGCTATTTTGTGCATTAGCCTTTAGGGAGGCTATAGAGTGGATTGGTATTGCTACTAATACTAAATGGGAAGCTTGAAGATAAGAAAACATAATTCTATAGGTGTTTTAATATAAAATCATAGAATATTAGAATTGTAAGATATTACTTATTTCCCAACCTCATTCCACAAATGGACAAGGCCTAGAGGCTAGAGAGTGTGTGGAGAGCTGAGGCTGGCTGTAGCCTCCTGCTCATGCTCTTATTTGGTCTATACCTCTTGTGCCAGGCTTCTTTGTTCTTGGGAAACTTAATCCAGCTGAGGCACAGCAATGTGAGGGCAGCTGTACCAGCCATACCTTGTTTTTGTTTCAATATTTAGTTCCTTTGTCCCCTCACAAGAGAAACTATTCACTTCAGCTTTTTCATGTGGTTTAAATTAATGTATCATGAATTCCTGCTACTCAGTTACTCACTAGAACATGTAGAAATGCTTTTGATCTGATGCTATTGAAACGGTAAGAATTTCAATAGACCCAGGGTGTGGAAACTGGGTCTCAATATGTTGCCCGGGCTGGTCTCAAACTCTTTTTCTCAAATAATCTTCCTGCCTTGGCCTCCCAGCATGCTGGGATTACAGGTGAGAGCTACCATGCTTGGCCAGAACTCTCTTTTTAATTAGTTCAATTTTTTAAAATGCCAAATTGCATTCCTTATCTACAGGAAAAACTAATCCTTAGTAAATATAGATTTATCTACATGTTTTTGTTAAGTTTTATAATGCTTTTCAAGTGGTTTTCTAGCAAGTGTGTCAGTCTTTATATATTAAATTATTCTTTTAGGGGAGAATTATATTCTTGAACTTGAAACATGTTAATAATTTATTCAAAATAATAAACTTTAAAAAACTGTTTTTCTTTTCCTTAGGCTGGATGTTGAATTTGTTCTCTCAGCACCTACTTCTGAATGGAATGGCAAACAGGGACATATTTCACCAGCTCTTCTTTCTGAATTTTTTAAAAGAAATTTGGACAAATCTAAAGTTCTTGTCTGCATTTGTGGACCAGTGCCATTTACAGAACAAGGAATAAGGTGAGTAGCAGTGTAGCGGGAAACAGACTGCCCAACACTGAAACGAAGATCGTTCGTTAACAAGCATCTCTCAGTTCTTCCTATTTATGTGAACTGCACTTTAATAATCTTACAGTTTTAGAAAATAACTAAGTCTTTAAGTCTTCATATAGTTTAAGAGTTGGAGGTCAGAATTATGCATAGTTAGATATGAATACAAAAATAGGACACAGCCAGCAATTGGTGTTCTCTGCTAATGGCTGCCCGTATGATACACTCACAGGATTGGTGCCGCAGTCTTATTTGGGACATTAGGCCCAACCTCTTCTTCCATCAAAGCTTTAGAATAGTAATTAATAAGCAGTGTTCATCTCATTGTAGCTTTTGCTCTTCATTCTCTGTAACTGAGTGAAAATTAGTAAATACTATATATGCAATCAGGAGCCACGCAGCAAGACAAAAAGGGAAGACTAGAACACAAGTAAGACAAGACTAATAGTTGAAGCGAAGCCTGGATAATGAAAAATCAGTGGTAGTGGTGATCCTGTTTGAAACTCAACTTTATGTGATTTAGCTTTAAAATGGCACTTTAAAATGTTTGGTTAAATAGAGCCCCTATTGGATTTTTAGATGATTTTAAAATATAGCTGCTTTAAGTATCTTCTTCTTATTTAGTCTGTGACTAAACCTAACATTTCTAGATGTCAACTAAAAGAGTCAAACTCTGTAATTTGAAGAGATTTATCCTGAGATGTTAAAATGTGCACTTTGAATGGAGAAACCCCCCAAACAGGCTTTGTGTGAGCAACATCGCTATGTATTCACCTGGGTGCAGGTGGGCTAAGGCCGAAAAGGGCATTAGCGAAGGGCAGCGGGACAGGAGTTGCTTTTATAGATTTGGTGGGGTGGGCAGTGGAAACTTAGAGTAAGATTAGTTACAGTGGTGGGGGTAGGGGTAAGGAATATTCATTACCATAAGTTCAGTTACAATGGCGGGTGGGGTAAGTAGTTAAGATGGTAGAGTATTTACATTATCACAGTAACAGTTAAGATGGCAGGGTGGGGTGAACCATCTTAACCGGCTCCTCTGGGCTATCAGGGATAATGGCGAACACAGGTGGGAGGATGGGGGGATGAGGGGGTGATCAGCCAAGACAGGCGGGACTTCAGACTTTCTGAGTCTGGGCTTGCACATGGAGGCTTGACATACCTGTCTTTTTATAGAGAGAGAGAAAGAATTAGAGAAGAGGGGGCAATAACAGGTTTTGGGGCATGGGGGCAAAGATTTTCAAGGATACGTTGTGTGTGATTGAGGGCACCGCAGAAACCCAAAATTGGGAAAGAATTTAGACGCTAGGAGATCTTGGGGAAAGGTGTGATATTGTGGGGTTGTTAGAAGGAGCATTTGTTGTATTGACTGATTGGTTATTGCTTATATACGATTTTGTAGGAATTGAGAGATTAATTGGAAAAACGCAGTGTCCAAATAAGAGAAGGAGATAGCATTAGAGGACTAAGAATTAGAAGAAGCCATAACTCCCAGTTAGAGAGTGTACAGCCAGGTCCAGAATAACCATTTGCCTGATTAGTGAGCTTTTGGGCTTTTAAAATTTATTGATGGCATTACAGACAAGGCCGGGCTGGTTTGCATAAAAACAACATTCTTCATTTAGGAATAGGCAAAGACCTTTTCTAGCAGTCAGTAAATTAAGACCTCTGTGGTTTTGAAGGGCAACTGCAGGTAGGGAATTTACTTGAGCTTAAAGGAGGGATAATAATTGAGTTAATTCTCCAATGCTAGCAGAGAAATTATTAGAGATGCTATGCAAGGTGCCAGTTGAAGTGGAAATGCCTGTGCCGAGTGCAGTAGTAATTCTTAACCCTACAAGTAAGGGCATTAATGGAATGACTTGTTTGTGTTGTGTCTGGACCACAGAGGGAACAGGGAGGCTTTTGTCCCCTTTGGCAAACTGAATTTTGGGAGTAAGGAAAACTAGGGTACAAGTGCCTGTCCAGTTGGTAGGAAGGCAGATGTAAGAAGAAGAACCACAGAGGAAAAAAAAAGGTTCTTGGCTTAGAACTGAAAGTGTAAACTGAAAAGGTGAGAAAGTGTTCTGAGGGGGCTGGTGCTTTGGACCTGAGTGCCAAGGGAACCAGCAAGGGCTGTGGCTGTTAACGGTTGTAGCGGGGCTTGGTAGGGTAACTATGGAGGGAGAGCTTTTGTTTTCATGGTGTATGAGGAAGCATGTGGTATATATAAGCAACCACTCACTTTTATTAACAAGATTGGGTATGAGCAGAGAATGGGAGCCAGATTAAGAGTGAAATATTAGCTGTAATTGCCTGGAAGAAAAGTGTAAACCAGCAACTTAAAAGCAGGGCATGTAAAACTAAATGATTACAGTGAATTTGATTACAGTTAGACAGAAAATAATAGAAACAGAGACTTTTTGAGGTATGATTTAAGTAGTAGGGGCAACTGCATAAAGCTGGAGAAGGTGAGCAGCTGAAAGTAAGTGTGTGAAGTGTAAAGAGAAAACTTTGGAGGTTGTGAGAACTATAGAGGGTAAGTGGGACATAGCCTGTGGTTTTGAGGGATTTTTTTTTTTTTTGAGACAGTGTTTTGTTTTTGTTACCCAGGCTGGAGTGCAGTGGCACGATCTCAGCTCACCGCAACCTCCACCTCCTGGGTTCAAGCAATTCTCCTGCTTCAGCCTCCCAAATAACTGGGACTTACAGGTGTGTGCCACCATGCCCAGCTAATTTTTTTGTATTTTTATTAGAGATGGGGTTTCACTGTGTTGACCAGGATGGTCTCGATCTCTTGACCTCGTGATCCACCCACCTCAGCCTCCCAAAGTGCTGCGATTATGGGCGTGAGCCACCACGCCTGGCCAGTTTTGAGGGATTTCAAGAGTATTAGAGTGACAGCTGCTGCCATGTGTAGTTATGAGGGCCAGCCCAGGACTGTGACGTTAAGTTGTTTGGATGAAAAGGCTACAGGCCTCCATGGGCCTGGCTCCTGTGTAAAAATTCCGATGGCACAGCGTTTTATTTCTGCTGTGTAGATAGAGAAGGGTTGAGAGGATTTGGAGAGTGCTAGTGCGGGGGCTGTCTCTAAGGCCTTCTTTAGCGACCAAAAGGCAGAATGGGGGAAACATTTTTGGTTTATGGAGTTAGCTCAGTTTCCATTCGTAGGTTCATAAAATGGTTTGGTTACAGGGGCAAAAACCTGGCATCCAGAGGCGAAAGTATCCTACAACGCCTAGGAAGGAGATAAGCTGTTGTTTAGTGGATGGGGTTGGGGTTTGGGAAATTAACTGGATACCGTTGGCAGGGAGAGTGTGTGTATGCTGGTGAAAGATTATAACAGGTGGGGAAGAAATTTGGGCTTTAGAAAAAGCGTTTTTGAGGTTAAGAACAAAATAATGAGCTGTGGAAGGGGTGTGGAAGATAGGAGGGCCTAGAGGTTTAGTACAACCAGGTGGATGGGAAGTATAATCTGATTGATGAGGCAGAGTTCTTGGACTAGTCTGAAGAGTTTGACTGTTTTTTGGACAACTAGGATAGGGGAAGAAACTTGGGCTTTGGAAGGGGATACGTCATGCCCCTTGGAATATAGATGCTGAAGAAGCAGGAGGGTAAATTAAAAGGCTATGTTGCAATAAACAGGTGATAACAGGCTTTACACCTTTTAAAGTCTGTTGTGGGATGGGGTAGTGGCACTGGGCAGGGTAAGGGTGGTTAGGTTTTAAGGGGATGATGAGGGGTGAGTGACTTGTAGCAACAGATGGGAAGGCAGTGTTTTACACCATAGAATTAAGGTAGGGGGACATAAGGGGAGCATTGAGGGAGGTATGGGTTCAGGGAGGAGGGCGGCAGTGAGATGTGGCTGTAGCCCAGGAATACTGAAGGAGGCAGACAATTTTGCTAGGATATCCCGGCCTAACAGGGGAACTGGATAAGTGGGGATGATTAGGAAAGAATGTGGAAAGGAGTGCTGGCCTAATTGACACCAGACCTGGGGAGTTGTGAGAGGCCTGGAGGCCTTGCCATTAATTCCCACAACAGTTATGGAGGCCAAGGAGACAGGTCCTTGAAAAGAAGGCAGTGTGGGGTGGGTGGCCTCTGTGTTGATTAAGAAGGGGACTTACCCTCCACCATAAGAGTTACCCGAAGTTTGGCCTCCGTGATGGTCTGGGGGCTTCTGAGATGCTCGGGCATTGTTAGTCTTAGCCGCCAAGCCGAGGATTGGAGCTTTAGGAGCTCTGGGAGCAGCGACGTGAGTCAGACAGTTGACTTTCTGTGGGGGCCCCGCACAGATGGGGCAGGGCTTAGGAGGAATTCTGGGCTGTGGGCATTCCTTGACCCAGTGGTCAGGTTTCCGACACTTGAAGCAAGGTCCGGGAGGGACAGCTGGACACGCTGCAGTCTGGGCACTTTGAAGTCTGTGAGCTGTTGGTGTGGCTGGGGTTTGTTTTACAGAAGAGGCAAGCATCTGTAGTTCTGAGATGCGCTGCTGCCGGGCAGATTTTTCCCTATTATTGAACACCTTGAAGGTGAGATTTACTTAATTCCTGTTGTGGGGTTTGAGGGCTAGATTTTAATTTCTGTACCTTTGTAATGTTGGGGTTGATTGGGTGATAAAATGCACATTAAGCATTTTTCAGGCATAAGAGTAGAAGTAAGGATGACATTTAAGTCATTCCAGGTGAGATTAAAAGACTGAGTTAAGTATTGGAGGATTTGATGAAAAGGAGCCTAACGGGTGGCTGATTTGGGAAAGGTTGGATAAAGGGAAAGGAACGTGCACCCTAACTATGCCTTTGGCTCCAGTCACCTTTCAAAGGGGAAATTGTTGGGCAGGGGCAGAGGAGGTAGCTGAGGAACTAAACTGTAAGCTGGACCATGGATCAGGTGGGAAGGTGACAGGAGGGGCATAAGGAGGTGGGTTGTGGGTAGAGGAAGAGGAAGAAGGCTCTGGGGGGTGGGGTTAGGTCCTGGATTAGGGCCTGGTTTGGACAAGCAGGGAGGAGAAAGGTTGCAAGGGTTGATGGACAGATTCTGGGTTACTGGCATAGGAAGGAGGGGCAGACGGAAGGGAGAGGAGTAGAGATGAGGGAGGGATTGGTGTGTGAAAAAATGCCTGGACATAGGGAATTTCAGACCTTTTGCCCATGTTGCAACAAAAATTGTCTAAATTTGTAAAATGCAGAGGTTAAGGGGCAAAAAAAGGTGCTGTTTTTTGGCCAATTGGAGCCGTTATTTAACTTGTATTGCGGCCATGCAGTATTACAGAAGATGAGACGTTTGGGTTTTAGGTCAGGAGACAGTTGAAGAAGCTTTCGGTTTTTTAGAACACAGGCCAGCAGAAAGGAGGGAGGGATAGAGGATGAACCATTGCCTGTGGTTCTGGAAAGGCAGCAGAGACAAGGAAAATGGGCACACAACCCACCTGCTTAATAGGTGTCCCTAGCTGAGCCTGGGTTGAACCTCCTCGTTGGTGAGTGGTCAAAGAGAGCATCTTCTATGTTGACTTGTCACCAATATCGGCCATGAGCCTGGTGGGCGAGTAACTAGGGTGAACATCTCCATGATAGTCAAACCCCTGGGGAAAACTCAGTCCCTAGATTCATGACCTACATAGGATCTTTTCTGGTTCTGAACCACACAGAAGAACCTGGTTTACCTGATTTTCCTTGTCTTCGTGATGGAAAAAGGATGAAACCAAAAGGGGGAGGAAGTGGAAAGGAAAAGACAAAAGGATGAGAAAGCAAAAGAGAGACTGCTTATGAAAATAGCTGGTGGTGTGTGTCTGTGGGCTGGTCTGATGACCCCAGGTGGGTAGGTAGAGTTCTTCATGAAGGAAGCACAGAAACAGGGGCAGGGGTTTGGTCTCCCGTAAGAGTTCCCCTGACCCGGGTTTTGGCACCAAATGTTAAAACACGTTAAAAGGTGCGCTTTGAATGAAGAAACCCCCCAAACAGGCTTTGTGTGAGCAACATGGCTGTTTATTCACCTGGGTGCAAGTGGTCTGAGGCCGAAAAGGGCGTTAGCAAAGGTTGGTTTTATAGGTTTGGGGTGGGCAGTGGAAAGTTACAGAGTAAGATTAGTTACAGTGGTGGGGGCAGGGGCAAGGAGTATACATTACTGTAAGTTCAGTTACAATGACAGGTGGGTAAGAGTAGTTAAGATGGTAGGGTGGGGTAGGGAGTATTCACATTATCATAATAACAGTTAAGATGGTGGGATGGGCTATCAGGGATAATGGTGAACAATGGCGGATGGGGAGTGATCAGCCAAGGCAGACAGGACTTCAGATTTTCTGAGTCCAGGCTTGCACGTGGAGGCCTGACATGAGCCAATATGAGTGACCATGGCCCATGACACAGCCCTCAGGAGGTCCTGAGAACATGTGCCCAGGGCAGTAGGGGTACAGCTGGGTTTTATACATTTTAGAGAGGCATGAGACATTAATCAAATACATTTAAGAAATACATTGGTTTGGTCCAGAAAGGTGGGATAACTCAAAGCCGGGAAAGGAGCGGGATGGTGCGGGGCACGGGTTTCCAGGATATAGGTACATTTAAACATTTAAACATTTTCTAGTTGACAGTTGAGTTTGTCTAAAGACCTGGCATCTAAAGAAAGGAAATGTTCAGGTTAAGATAAAAGATTGTGGAGACCAAGGTTCTTTTGAAATCTTACATTGGCTGCCCTTAGAGGTAATAGATGGCAGATTTTTCCTATTCAAACATTTGAAAAGTACTAGACTCTTAGTTAAGCTCTCAGGATTGGGCTGGCCTGGAAGAAAAAGATCTAGCTATGTTAATAGATTCTTTACAGATGCAAATTTACCCCTTCAAAGGACAGATTTGCTGGGTCATTTCAAGATATGGCAAAGAAACATGTTTTGGGGTAAAATATTTTTATTTTCTTCTTTGTCTTGTAATGTTATGCCAGAGTCAGGTTGGAAAGTAAGTCCCCATACATGGGGTTAAATAAAACCCATCTGATGAGAATTTATGGTTTGTAGGGCATGACTGCCCGGACCCCTTAGGAATTTAGACAAGATTTTAAAAAAAATCAGAGTTTAGTCTTCATAATCTCATTTCTTGCTTTTTTACTTAAAATTTTAATTACAGGAAAGATTGACCCCAAGTCAATAAATAAAGGCATTAAAAACTTTTTTCTTCCATGTCATATTTAAAATGTATCTTATTTTTTATTAAATATAAGTATATTTCTCTATTTTAATACTTTCAGGAAAATGTTATTTTAAACTCTCTCAACTTAAAAAGATTTTTCAAATTTCTATGTAAACTTTTACTCTCTTAAAGCTCAAGCAAAACTGTTAAAATTACAATGAAGACTAACATAGTTTGCATATAAAATTTTTTTTTTTTTTTTTTTAGGAAAAGAGGCTAAAAGCTATACTGTCTTCTGTATTGCTTCTGCTATTTTAGAAGTATCTCAACGAATACAGATTGCAGTATAATAATACTTTTAAATAATTAGAATCATTTTTGCATTTTTTTAAATTGACCATAAACTTTGGGAGGCCAAGGTGGGTGGATTACCTGAGGTCAGGAGTTCAAGACCAGCCTGGACAATGTGGTGAAACTGTCTCTACTAAAAATACAAAAATTAGCTGGATGTGGTAGGAACCTGTAATCCCAGCTTCTCGAGAGGCTGAGGCAGGAAGATCCCTTGAACCTGGGAGGTGGAGGTTGCAGTAAGCTGTACTCCAGCCTGGGCCACAAGAGCGAAACCCCATCTCAAAAAAAAAAAAAATTGACCATAACCTGTATGGCTTTTTTTTCCCCTCAGTTTTATTTTAGAGCCAGTCTTTCAATGCTGTACTAGCTGGCTTACCCAGAATTGCTCAGGGGTATTTATTAATCATTACATATAGATTTCTCCTGTTACTCTTGAACATGCTGCATAGAGTTGCCTTTTGAGATGTAACTTGATTCGCATCAGTACTTATAATTCATAGTAGCTGCCCTTGTGACTTTCATTTGGGACTCATTTCTTTGGTTTCCTTATCTTCGTCATCTTAATGGATGTGGTATATTTTTCTTGATTGGCAATTATATGGGTTTCTTATTATAGCTTTTACTGTTCTGAAAAATGAGTCTTTTTTGCTATGTCCACTCCTAGAGTGCTCCAAAGTTAATCTCATGTCTGCTACATAGATTATATTATAAATATAGCCATCCCAGACATATTCTCCATATTTGGTGAACATTTGTCAATTTGTGTGATGTGATAACAGAAAAAGACTCAGAAGCCTATTTTATTTATATGTGTGTATATATGCAGCTTATCATTACTTGGCCAATAATGGTTCTTTTATCCACTAAATATGCAGTTTATTGCAGATTAGTAAAACAGTCTCTGCTCTAAAGGACCATGCTCTCTAGTCTTAGAAACTGTAATAATAATTTATTTATTATTTATATATCATACTGATAAATAAAGTATGACTCAGAGCACCATAAATATCTTACTGGAGATAAAATCAAGTATTATGGGAATTCAGGGGGGGTCAGGTTACTACCTAGCAATGAGTGTGTTGGAGAGACAAGAGCTGCATTGTCAAAAAAAGTCATGTGCACTGCATGTGGACTAAAACCTACCAGTCAGGAGAGATGGAGAAGGGGATAGTACAGGCAGGGAGAACCATCAGTTGCATTAGGGATGCAGATATACAAGACTAGACTGGTTTGGCTAGAGTGAAGCTGCTGCCTGGGACAACAGGATGGAATAGTAGGGTGGGCCCAGATACTGAGAGGCATAACTACTCCATTGCGTGGCCCTCTACTTACGTGCTCTACTGGCCCTTTGTGTGAGTATGTGTATGCCCTCTGGGAGCCGCCAGCTGGGGTTTAAATTCCAGGTCTACCACTTACAAGCATCTTGCAGTCATTTACTGGATGTCCTAGGGTAGTTCTTAACCTTGCTAAGCTTTAGTATACTTATCTACAAAAATGAATAAATAATACATGAACATGTGAAGTGCCTGGCAAAGTGACTACATATAATAAAGTAAGCAGTAAAAAAAGTAGTTACTATACTGTTTTCCCAGTTGACTATGCAGTATTTCTGTTTTTCCTGTTCAGTAGGGGGAGAATGAAGTTAGAATGGTAGGCGAATTAACTCCTTTCTTTGAAAACTGGTGAATAAAGAAGAAGAAAAATCAAACATTTATTCTGCCTTTGGTATATGAGCCATACTACTGAATAAACACAGAATAAATGAGCAGATATTTTTCTTTATGGGATTCTTCACCTGATTAATGAAGAAAGAATGATAGAAGTAGAATATCGCCAGTTGCAGTGCGTAATAAACTAATGGATCTATACATAGACCGTAATGGTAACTAACATCTGAAAAGAGAAGCAACCGTTTATTATATGCCTTCTGATAGAGGAACATTACCTATCAAATAGTCTTGTCAGAAAGATTTGAACCTATGTCTGATCAAGCCTCTAGATCCAATTATTAAGTTCTGGAAAATATGAGGATGTAGAGACATTAAGGAATACCACAGGGATGTAGAAAAATGAAGGTTTTAGGAGACTCAACAGATAAATATTTGATTTTTGTCAACAAATAAATTGCAGGATGGAGTGGGGATCTGGGGGATGTTATAGATTAAAAGATGCCTAAAAGACTTAGGAGACAATCATATTAAGTAAATTTTAATTGGATCTTGATTCAAACAATTTTTAAAATTATGGCAGTTACGAGATAGTTGAAAATTTGAACACTGATTAGATGTTTCATGATATTTAGGAGTTACTAATCACTAATTTTTTTAGAAGTGTTTTTTTGTTTTTTTAAAAAAACTACATAGTAAATGGGGAAGATGAAAAAGCATCATGATTACGGTGATAAAGTGCTCTTATTTCTTCATTTTAAAACATTTTCCCTAAGAAACATGTGCTTTTTATTTTTCAGGTTGCTGCATGATCTCAACTTTTCCAAAAATGAGATCCACAGTTTTACAGCATAATGAAGAGCTGTCATTATCCTTTATTCAGCTAGTTTATCTAACTTTGTGATTGCTTAGGGTTTTTTAAGAGAACATTTTTGTACATAATAAAAGGTTAACTAGAATCCAGGGGGCTTCAGTTTCTTAAATGAAATCAAATGTTCCTTAAGTACAGGTAACTTCTTGGCTTTTTTATGTACCATAACTTATTTTACTACTGATATTTGACCTGGAAAGTTAATCATGGCAACAAATACATCCAGGATTCTTTGTTATGAATCACAAATTTTCTTGCCATATAAATTGTATCACTGTTCTACAATAAGCACTTGTGTTTTATGACACGATAAAGTAAATGATCACTTTGATCACATTTCTATGCTGTAAAATGTCTTATTAGCAATACAGATTAAATTTTACATTGCATTGTTAACTCAGGAAATGATCATTTATGTCCTTGTTATTGAAACATAGAATGTTATAACTTATTAAGTGATACAAACATTGTTGTGTGTATGTATGGCATTGATGCAGAATAGAATAAAATCATACTTAAGTTCTTTTTAATCCTTGTGGTAGAAGTGTGGTTGAATGCAACAATATTGGGCCAGTATCATAAGGGGAATTTTAAAAGGCAGCAATAAAATATATTAGAGAGATGTCATGCATGCACCTTTGGATGAGGGGTGTTAACAGAGCTTGAGAGAGGAAACGTTGATAACTATTTTTATTCTTAGCCAAAAACAAAGGCATTAGGAAAGAGAATGAAAGTGTAGTTGCTAGTTCCACAGCCTAAAATTATTTGGTGCTTTGAAATGGGTTGAATTTTAGTTTGTTTTTAGTCTATCTAAACCAGCTGGGAATATGGGGAACGTTCTGTCCTGAATGGTTCTTTTCCTGGTTGGCAGCTTTCTCCACAGCTGGTGGTTCGGGGCAGGGAACCCTCTTAGGTTCTTGTGTGTGGGCAACTTATTTTCCCTCCCTGAAAGTTGCCTTGTGCACCTTGCAAATACTTTCAGAGATTCAGATCAGCAAAGGGTTTGAATAATAGTCATTGTGAGCTTTTCATGAGGAAACTATTGAATGCATAGGTAGCAACTGTCTAAGCTACTAGATTTTTCAGTCTTAGTATAGCAGCAGTGTTTTTGCAGAAATAGTGGATGGAAAGAGTCTCCAATTTATCTGTAAATGATTTTGTAAATAGATAAATCTTCACTGAATTAATAGTACACTCAAGAGGAACACAATATTAATGTTCCCCAAGTTACAGACACCCAGCTTGTGAAGCTTCCCATGTGCAAATGACTGGTTGTACTCTGTCACTTTTTTTGTGTGCCTCTTGTCTTCTGTAGCCAATTTCACCGTTATTATTATTCACAAGACAGGAATCTAGCTGTCCTGGCTGGCAGTGTGCCCTGATAGCTAATAAGAACTTTTTCTAGTTGAGTGCCTTCTCACTACTTCCTTTTTTCCATCTAAGGGTGAAGTGATTTGGCTCTCTGTCCTCACCCAAATCTCATATCAGATTGTAATTCCTACATGTCGAGAAAGGGTCCTGGTGGGAGGTGATTGGATCATGGGGGTGGTTTCCCCCATGTGTTTTATGACACATCTGTTCCCGTGTTGGTGAGTGAGTTTTCATGAGATCTGATGGTTTAAAAGTATGGCAGTTCCTCCCCACCTCCTGCTGCCTTATGAAGAATGTCCTTGCTGCTTCCTTGCCTTCTACCATAATTGTATGTTTCCCAAAGCCTCCCCAGCCATGCAGAACTGTGAGTCAAGTAAACCTCTTTTCTTCATAAACTCCCCAGTCTCAGGTAATTCTTTATAGCAGCGTAAAAATGGACTAATACAAAAAAAGATGATGTACCACTTTTTTTGGTTTGTTTGCAGTGAATCAATGAAATCTAACTTAGCCAGCGTCTTTCTCATTTTTTCTAATCCTCCTTTTTCCTCTCTCTCCAGTCCCAAGCAACAGAATCTCCTCTCTGTTAATCTCTTATTTGTAATGCTTCCTCATTCCTCCTTTTAAGTTTTATATTTTAGAACAAATCCGTAAGTATCTCCTGGTAATCTCCACTCATATGACTTTATCAACTTACATGTTAATAATTCCCAAACAGGAGTCATTAATTTGAGAATCAGCTGATTCTTCAGTTTTCAGTATCGATTTACCTCCTGCACACCACACCCTCCAGCTAGTAAGCCATTCTACAACTATTAGGGATCAACATCAATGTTCCCGTCTCCAGTCTGACTCTTCCACCTAACCCTGTCCTATCATCCCTCAGCTGGATTAGTACAGTAGCCTGATAATTCATCTTCATGCTGCAGTCTGATCTCCTAAAATTTATTCTCCATTCCAAATTACTCTAGAAGGACTTGGAGAAAAAAATCCCCAGATAGAGCCTCAGTCTTCCAGGTAATACAACCAAATACTGCAGAGCATAAATAGGAGTATAGCTTATCACTGTTATTTTCAAGCAAATAACTCAAAGACTCCTACATCACATATTTGCAATGAATAAAAAGAATTATGCTCAAAGTCACATTTGCTTGCAAATTCTGCTTTTAAAAAGATGTTTACATATTTTCTATTGCTGCTAGATCAGATTACTACAAACTTAGTAGCTTAAAACAACATCAATTTATCTCACAGTTCCATGGCACAGAAATCTAGGCACAATATGTCTCAACTGGGTCCCCTGCTGAAAGCCTCACAAGGCTGAAATCAGATTGTCAACTGAGCTGAGCTCTTAGCTAGGGAATCTAAGGGGAAGTCCCTAGGCAAGAGTTCTTTTAACCTCATTTAGGTTGATGGTAGATTTCAGTTCCTTGCAGTTGTAGGACTGAGTTCCCCATTTCCTTGCTGGCTGTTAGCTGTGGGCTGGTCTTTGTTTCCTGAATCTACCCACATTCCTTCTCATGCTTTCCTTGTGGCCCCCTTTGCCATTGGTAGGCGTATCTCATGCTTTCAGTCTCTCTGAATTCCCCTCTGCCATATCTTCTTGCCCTAGTGAGAGAAAGTTCACTGTTGTTAAGATCTCACGTGGTTAGATTGGACCCACCCAGATATCCAGGGTAGTGTTCCTAGTTTAAGATCTATAATCTTAATTACAGCTGTAAAGCTCCTTTTCCTGTATAATATTCAAAGGTTGCAGGCATTTGGGTGTTGACATCTTTGATGGGCACATTTGGTCTACCACAGACTATAAAAAGAACAGAGAAATTTGTCCAAGATAAGATGATTAGATTTTGTCTAGTTAGGGGCCCTTGCTATGGGCCCTCACTTTTTACCTTAATGTAACAGAGCATAGGAGGAGCTTTCTCACCCCAGAAGAGTCAACTTCATTATGTTGGCAAAGATGTGGGTACAACCTGCTCTGTGATCTACCCTCTCAACCATGCAAGCTTGTCCTGAACCAGTTTGTGGCTGACTCTGTTGATAACAGACCCATTTTGAGGCAGGAAAAAAAAAACAGATTCTTATGGTCTACAGTATTTTACATTGTGGCAAATAAATTATAAAGGAAAGATGAAGTCTCAACTAGTTTCAGTCTCTTGGTCTTTCAACATTGGTTTTACTGTGAAATCATCTTCACCCAGTATTGCAAGTTTAGCAGACCTCAAAACAGAATGCCACAGTAATCTGAAAATTCAAAAATGAGTTTACTTTCTTTGCTAAAGTTCCCTTTTGATACAGAGGCTCCATTCATGGGAGACATTATCTTGGGTGCAGCATCATACATAGAGTTAAAAAATGTAGAAACAACCCAAACATTCTGATACGGTTTATCTGTGTCCCTGCCCAAATATCATCTTGAATTCTATTCATAATTCCCACGTGTTGTGGGAGGGACCTGGTGGGAGATAATTTGAATCATGGGGGCAGTTTCCCCCATACTGTTCTCAAGGTAGTGAATAACTCTCTTGAGATCTGGTGGTTTTATCAGGGTTTTCCACTTGTGCATCTCAGTCACTTTCTCTTGCTGCCACCATGTAAGAAGTACCTTCCACCTCCCACCATGATTCTGAGTCCTCCCCAGCGATGTGGAACTGTAAGTCCAATTAAACCTATTTTTCTTCCCAGTCTCAGGTAAGTCTTTATCAGCAGTGTAAAAATGTACCAATATATTAAATTGGTACCAGTAGAGTGGGTGTTGATGAAAAGATATCTGAAAATGTGGAAGCAACTTAGGAACTGGGTAACAGGCAAAGATTGGAACAGTTTGGAGGACTCAGCAGAGACAGGAAAATGTGCGAAAGTTTGGAACTTCCTCGAGACTTGTTGAATGGCTTTGACAGAAATATTGATAATGATATAAATAATGAAATCCAGGCTGAGGTGGTCTCAGATGGAGATGCAAAACCTATTGGGAACTAGAACAAAGGTGACTCTTGTTATGTTTTAACAAAGAGACTGGTGGCATTTTGCCCCTGCCCTGGATATTTGTGGATCTTTGAACTTGAGAGAGGTGGTTTAGGGTATCTGATGGAAGAAATTTCTAAGGAGCAAAGCATTCAAGAGGTGACTTAGGTGCCGTTAAAGGTATTCAGTTTTAAAAGGGAAGCAGAGCCTAAAAGTTCAGAAAATTAGCAGCCTGACAATGCAATAGAAAAAAAAAAAATCCCATTTTCTGAGGAAAATTTCAAGCTGCCTGTAAATATTTGCATAAGTAACAAGGAGCCAAATGTTAATCACCAAGACCCCAAAAAATGCCTCCTGGGCATGTCAGAGACCTTTGAGTCAGCCTCTCCCATCACAGACCCAGAGGTCTAGGAGGGAAAAAAAAATGGTTTTGTAGGCAGGGCCCAGGGTCCTTGTGCTGTGTGCAGTCCAGGGATTTGGTTCCCTGTGTCCCAGCCTCTCCAGCTGTGGCTCAAAGGGACCAGTGTAGAGCTTTGGTCCTGGCTTCAGAGGGTGCAAGCCTTGAGTTTTGGCAGCTTCTATGTGGTGGTGCATCTGTGAGTGTACAGAAGTCATGAATTGGGGTTTGGGAACCTCTACTTAGATTTCAGAAGATGTGTGGAAATGCCTGGATTCCCAGGCAGAAATTTGCTACAGTGGCAGGGCTCTCATGGAGCACCTCTGCTAGGACAGTGCAGAAGGGAAATGTGGGATCCCCACACAGATCCTTACTGGGGCACTGCCTAGTGGAGCTATGAGAAGAGGGCCAACATCCTCCAGACCCCAGAATGGGTAGATCGACTTATAGCTTGCACCTTCCACCTGGAAAAGCTGCAGACACTCAACACCAGCCCAGAAAAGCAGCCAGGAGGGAGGCTGTACCCAAAAAGCCGCAGGGTCAGAGCTGCCCAAGATCATGGGAACCCACCTCTTGTATCAGTGCGACCTGGACATGAGACCTAGAATCAAAGGAGATCATTTTGGAGCCTTAAAATTTGACTGTCCTACTGGATCTTGGTTTTGCATGGGCCCTGTAACCTCTTTGTTTTGGCCAATTTCTCCAATTTGGAATGGCTGTATTTACCCAATAACTGTACCCCCATTGTATCTAGGAAGTAACTAACTCACTTTTGATTTTACAGCTCATAGGTGGAAGGGA